CTCAGGGGCAGGGGGTCTTTGCAAGGCCCAAAGATGCAAGTGGGACGCATTTTTGAAGGAAGCAGAACCGTGACAAAAGACTGATAAGCTGGAAGCTTATGTCCTCAGGGAAGAATAGCATGTTTATCACCGAAGGATAGTAGAGGACATGTGAAACCATCCTTTTGTTGAAAGCAAGTTTCTCTGTTGAAACTTGCTGGTGACTCCAGAGATGGCTCAATTCAAAGCATCCTTTGTTCTACGAATGTCAGTCTTCTCTCTAAGGGTACCCACACCTGTCCCCCCCATTCTTTCCCCAGGCAGATGTAGATTTTTTTAATGCAGTTTTCCCAAAGAGATCAGCATACTATATGGGATATAAGGATTCTGTTAGCACTAAGAAACTTTAGCTTTCCCAGAGCCCAGAGTTGGGTAGTCAGTCAGTGAAATCACAGGGATTTCGATGCATGAACTTGACCTTGATGTTACCTAGAAGATGGTGTCAGTGAAGGGGATGTCATTTGTAGGAGTAGAGTTCAGGCCACACCAGGCTGGTCATTGAGGCCACACTGCTCCATCCCTGTGGGTGTTCAGTCAGTGGACAGAACTCTTCACAGCATCCCAGAACTGGACTTTCTTATTTACTTATTTTTGTTTTTGGGTGTTGGTCAGGGCTTACTCCTGGCTCTGCATTCGCAAATCACTCCAGCAGTGCTCTGGGACTGTATGGCATGCCTGGGATTGAACCTGAGTCAATCGTGTGCAAGGCATCTAACTACCCTACCTACTGTACTATTTTTCTGGCCCCCAGACTTTCGTGTTTTAGCTCTCAAACAAAATTATGTCAGGGGGCTGGAGCAATAATAAATACTGTGGGTAAGGTGAGCTGGCTAACCCGGGTTTGATCTCTAGGACCCAATAAAGTCCAGTCTCCTGAGCCTGCCAGGAGTTATCCCTGAGTGCAGAGCCAGGAGTAAGCCCTGAGCACATCTGGGTGTGACCTCCCAAAACAACAAAATTGTGACCACTCTGTAAATCAGGGCTCCAACGTCACATGGTGCTTTTACATCCAGAAAATTGAAGGTTTTAAGCATTTTGATTCCCAGCATGCTGTGTTTAATGATTATAGTTTTGTTCCTTACAGGTGTTGCTAAGAAGCAGGGCTGGAGAGATAGTATTAGGGTTAGGTGCTCACTTTGCATACCGCCGACCCTTGTCCAGTCTCCAGCACCATGTTCTCCCAAGCACTGCCAGGGGTCATTCCTGAGCACAGAGCCAGGAGTAATCCCTGAGCATCCCTCCTCTGCCTGCCCATTTCTCTCTGGAACCACCCTGATAAAGCAATACACCGTTGAGAAAAAAGTTTTTCTTGGAGGGCGTGGGAATATCTGGGGTGATAAGTTAAAAAATTTTTTTTCTTTAGTCAACCCAAAATTGTCTGTGATCATATCCACTATCAGTACAATTATTTAATTGCAGTACAATTATTTCAGTGACCTCTTAAAGGTATTAAGTAAATATTTAAAAATAAAATCAATGTTTCCTTTTCATAAGTGATGTTAATTTGCTTGAACATTCTCTAGTGAAGTCCAAAGAACTCTTAGGATCAAAGGAAGTAGAGAGTGTAGAAGCTGTAGAAGTGTTTGAACTAGCAGTACTTAAAAGAAGGAAGTAGAGAGTGAAAAGCTGTAGAAGTGTTTGAACTAGCAGTACTTAAAAGAAAGAAGTTCAGAAACACACACATACATTGAAACACATATGCCCGCATGCACACTCACACTAACACAGCAGCCAGTGGAGAATATATATTTCTGTAAAGCTAAAAGCTCAAGTCTGGTGGGCGCCAGCTTTGCTGCTGTTCTTCAGAGACTTCACACTCCTGTGTGTTCACCCTTGGGGGAGCCGATCCGAAGGTAGTTCTACTTCTTCTTTTTTTTTTTTTTCCCTTTTTGGGTCACACCTGGCAATGCACAGGGCTTACTACTGGCTCTGCACTCAGGAATTACTACTCCTGGCAGTCTTCGGGGGACCATATGGGATGCTGGGAATCGAACCTGAGTCAGCCACGTGCAAGACAAACACCCTATCCGCTGTGCTATCACTCCAGCCCAGTAGTTCTACTTCTAGCCATAAAATCCAACTCTGGAAAACTCCAGAGGAAGGAAGAAGTATCATCTCGATGTTATTCATCGGTTGGGTTTTGGGGAAGCATTTTTGTTTTGTTTTGGGGCCACATTGGTGATGCACAGAGGTTACTTCTGGCTCTGCGCTCAGGAATCCCTCCTGGCGGTGCTCAGGGGACCATATGGGAATGCCAGGGATTGAACTTGGGTCAGCCAGCTGCAAGGCAAGCGTCCTACCCACTGAACTATCGCTTGGCCCCCATGGGGAAGCCTTTTATTGAGTTGAAGTTTGGGGCACAAGTTGGTGGGGTTTGAGAGAGGAAGGGGCAAGGAAATAGAACCGGATGGAGGAGAATCAGCTTCAGCACAAGCCCGGCCGAGGCGGAGGCCTGGAGCCGGGATTGCTCAACTGCGCGCTCCCACCTCCCAAGGGAGCTGGCAGCTGGGGACTGGCTGGTGACCAGGACCCCTGCAGGGCTGCAGCTCTGCCTTCTTTGCAGGGTAGCTATAGGTGGTATATCTGCCTGTCCGTCCAATACAGGGTCTTTAAGATGGAGAAGCTTATTTCCAGGGGAGGGGGAAGCTCCCTCTGAATTCCCGTCACGTCTAAGTGTTAGGTTGCGGGCTGCAACAGACTAGTAACGCGACAGACTAGTGGCCCTCCCAGGCCGGCTTCACCTCCACAGGTTTCTCCACCTCCCTATCCATTTTAATACGTCCGTAACTTTTTGCTAATAGGACGTAGGTGGAATGGGCCTTGGTTGACTCAGCGGGAGGATGGGATGCTCTTCTCCGCCTTCCTTCTAGGTAGAGTGTGGCGTTTGAGGCACCACCATGGATTCTGGGGGTTGAAGTCAGTAACAGCAATAAAAGAGCATTACGTCCCTAATGATCATGGAAATGCCTCCATGACTTAACCCTTGAACTCTATATCTCAGGGAAACTGTCACTGACTAGGTTTTTCTCTCAGCCGAGTTCGAACCTAGTTACAGCTGGTACGTATTTCTAATCAGTAATTGGCAAGGGCTTGGAAGCCCTGATTGAGTGAAACCAGCTGGTTGGCGCGTTATGTTGGGGAGCACAGCCTGGTGACAGGTATATCAGGAGAGCAAAGGGAGTCTGGGCAAAGGAGGAAAGGGTTGGCAGAGGGTGATAATCGTGGTGGACCTTGGTCTCAGCTTGGTGAGTGTGAGGTGATGGACACAAAGTCACAGTCCAGTGGACTTGGGGATTCCATGTAACTAAAGATGCACTGGAACGGACGGAATGAAATGGAGGGATGAGAGGCAGTGGTCAGATGTCAGACGCCTGAAAATGGAGATGGGGCGGGTGGTACTGTTCCTGCCCCACAGGGGGTGGTGATAAGGTAGCATGGAAGGAAAGACTATTAGTGGTGAAATTAAGAGAGGAAGCGAACAAGTCAGGCGTGGAAGCTGGGATGGCGGTAGATAGAACGTCAAGGAGAAAGAGCTGGACAGTGGTTTCCGTTTCAGAGAGGCAGACATCACTGATAGGATGGGGAGAAAAAAGATCTGGAAATAGTGTCCTTAAATATAAATTTTTTTCTCCATAGTCAAAGATATTAGACATGAACTACAAATGTAAAAGAAAATAAACTGAGAAAACAGTACATTTGATGTAACATGGAACATATCCTTAATGTTAAAAAAAATTCCTACACATTAATTCGAAAAAGACAACTTGATAGCAAAATAGGCAAAGAATATAGGAGCTTCATTTATAGTGGAGGAAGCACAAGTAATCAAAAGATGAGAAGATAGGCATCAGGGATGGCGCCCCAATTTTATCTGGGACGTACCAGGATATGTTATTGACAGGACCAGAAGTTATTAATATACTTCAGACCTAGCTTGAGCACCGCTGGGTGTAGTCTAGGAGACCTGGGCACCCAGTAGCCTTGCATCCTCCGGCCCTCGCACAGAACTTTGAGCATTGGTGGGCATGGCCCCTTGGCTCCCTGAGCGCTGCTTGGAAGACCCCCCTCCATATAAAACAGAATGTAGTCTTCCTGTGGTGTGGGGTGAGAGGCGCTCCTGCCCACTCTGTGGCAGGTTGTGCAGCCAGCAGTCCTGTGTGTCTGCCTAAGAGACTGGCCCGTCGGTCAAGCGCTCTGAAGTGCTACTGTGTCAACTCTGTTGGTGTCATCTTGTCCCCCAGCCACCCTCCAGTGACCTCCCCCCCCCCCCCCCCCCCCCCCCGTCATTTCCATGGTGGTTTTTTCTTTTTTTTTTTTCTCTCTTTTTGGGTAACGCCCCTCCCCCTCCTCTTCCCTCCCATTCCCAGGGATTACTCCTGGCTCTGCACTCAGGAATTACTCCTGGCGGTGCTCAGAGGACCATATGGGAGCTTGGAATCGAACCTGGGTCAGCCATGTGAAAGGCAAATGCCCTATCCACTGTGCTATCGCTCCAGCCCCTCCATGGTTTTTAAAGTATGATTTTCCTATCTCAGCTAGAGACTTGAGTATGTTTTTGCTCATTCCTGAGGGTCTTAATTTGGTGTGCCCTCTTGGGTAATGTGTGTGTAATCTTGGTTTTTTTTTTTTTTTTTTTTTTGCTTTTTGGGTCACAACCGGCGATGCACAGGGGTACTCCTGGCTCTGCACTCAGGAATTACTCCTGGCAGTGCTTGGGGGACCATATGGGATGCTGGGAATCGAACCTGGGTTGGCCATGTACAAGGCAAACACCCTACCTGCTATGCTATTTCTCCAGCCCCAGCGTGTGTAATCTTAATATAAATACCAGTCATTTCCTTCAGGTTATACTGAGCATTAATGCACCCACTATATTTAATTTGAATTTCTTGAGAATATAGGAAAAAATGGTATAAGTTTATGGACTTAATTTTTTTTATTTTTTCTGTTTTTAATTGCAGACTAACTGGACCTTCTGGGTTTGTAACAGATGGACCTGGAAATTACAAATATAAAACCAAGTGCACATGGCTCATTGAGGGACAGTAAGTAACAATGGTTAATTTAATTTTTTTTTCAGGATAGAGCTCGGTATGGCAGCACTTTTTCTTAAAAAATGAATGATTGGTACCATAAATTACTTTACCTGATTTTTTTTATTTGATAGCTTTTCATTTGGTAACTGGATTTGCTCTTTTTTCTTATTATTTATTTTAAAAACCTGTTGTCTTAATTTTTTCATTAAAGTTTCATTTTAAAATAAAAACTTCAAATCTTCAATTGATTTAATGCTTCAAATAAATTGCATGCACCAGTAATTTTTATCTATTTAATCATTGTAATAGTTTTTTAAAATAACCTCCTTCCTTCCTTCCTTCCTTCCTTCCTTCCTTCCTTCCTTCCTTCCTTCCTTTTTCTCTCTCCCTTCCCTTCCCTGCCTTCACCTCCCCTCCCCTCCCCTCCCCTCCCCTCCCCTTCCCTCCCCTCCCCTCCTCTCCCCTCCCCTCCCTTCCCCTCCCCTTCCCTCCCCTCCCCTCCTCTCCCTTCCCCTCCTCTCCCCTCCCCCTCCTCTTCCCTCCCATTCCCAGCATTTGGGAAATGATTTACTGAAGTATTGCAGGTCACCCAAACATTGTTGTATTTTGTTACATCTGTAGCACTGTCCTCCCATTGTTCATCAATTTGCTTGAGCAGGCCCAATAAAGTCTCCATTTTGAGACTTGTTACTGTGTTTGGCACATCGAATATGGCACAGGTAGCTTGCCAGGCTTTTCTGTGCGGGCGAGATACTCTCAGTAGCTTGCTGGGCTCTCCGAGAGGGGCGGACTCTCCGAGAGGGGCGGAGGAATCGAACCCGACTCAGCCGGGCCGGCTGTGCACAAAGCAAATGCCCTGCCCTTGTGCTATTACTCTGTTACATCACATTGGTTAAAATCATTATCAGTCTCATGGGAAAGTCTTCAGCGTTGGGAAGCTTGTCCAGGTGGCAGCTGCCACTTTCCAGGCTCCTTAGTTTTGGGTGCCTCTAGCAGCAAAATTCATCCCACTGGGCCAGGCGAGGCCTGAGATGTGGTCTGATGGGTCCTATGGTGCCCGGGACCACCAGTGCCACCCCTGTGATGCTCGTGTTGCTCTAGAGCCATCCCCTGGCATTTGGGGCTGGCCAAGCTACTCCTGTTGATAGTACGGAGGCCCTTGGTACCAGGGATTAAACCTCAGTTGAATGAACTGTTGGATTCTCTCCTGACTCCAAAAACTTATGCTTGGTTTTTGGCAACAGATACAGTTGTTTCCTTGAAGTAACACCTTCCTTTTGTCCATTTTCAAGGAAGTATTTGCCATGTTACTATAGTTTTTCCAGTTGTTTTCGTTTTGTTTGGTTTTTGTTTTGCTTTGGAGCCATCGCAGCAGTGCTGAGGGGCTACTCCCGAATTAGTGCTTGAGTGGGTGGGGGTCGTCTCCCTGTGGTGATCTGGGAACGATGCAGTACCTGCAATCGAGCCTGGGCCTCTGACCTGCAAAGCATGAGCACTGCCTGTCCTGCCAGTCCATGTCCAGCCACCACGGCTGTTCCGTGCAGATTCGGGGTTCCTCCTCCACCCTCAGACAGAAATGCTGGCCCCTCCTTTCCTGAGCCCCTCATTTAGTCTGTCAGTAAGTCAGTCCTTCTCCTGTCTAGAATATCTGCCAGACCTGTCTGTATTCTCCATTTCCCCTTCAGTCTTAACAACTGTCATAAGAATCCCCCTTCTCTCCCTCTTTCTTCACTCTTTCTCTGTCTCTGTCTCTTTCTCTCTCTTTTGTTTTTCACTTTTGGGCCACACCTGGCTGTGCTCAGAACTTATTCCTGGCTCTGCACTCAGGAATCACTCCTGGTGGCACACGAGGGACCACATGGGGTGCTGGGGGTCGAACCCGGGTCTGCTGTGTGCAAGGCAAACGCCCTCCCCGCTATCACTCTGGTCCCCCCCCCCGCCCTTTCTTTACACAATGTCATAACCTTGAAACTAGCTCTTAGTTTTGCCTTTTGCCCCTCTCACTTATTTCCTCGAAGGTCTATTACAGTTCTTTTTGGACAGATGTAACTGTAATTTTCAGATGGGCCGATTTTCTTTCCTGCTGCTCAGACTTAGCATCTTTTCTCTCCCTACGATTTTGAGACCCTGTTGTTTTCTCTTCCTTTAATACTTTTCCCCTTGACTTTCCCATGACTTACCTCTCATCCTAATTTCCCCCCGAACTTTCCAGAACTTGTTATACTGTCATACGCCATCACTTTACTTTCTCCCCATTTCGCATCACTGTTGGGAGAAGCTTGTTGATGTGTTTGTTTGCTTAGAGATGTTGACAGTCAGAGTGGAGGAAAAGGCATGTCAAGGCTGGCGCCATGCAGCTAGGCAGTATATGAATTATCTTGATTTTCCCTCAAACTGTTAAGCGGAATATTTGCAGTGAAGCTAGGTTAGTGTGAAGAGGCTGCGTGGGATATATGAAAATGGAAAAAGTAAAGTTCTTGGTGAAGTTACACTTTACTTAGCGGAGAAGGGGATAGAGTGGGTAAGTGCTGGAAGGAGAATTGGATTTTTGGCTTTGTGTGTTTTGCTTCTTATTTATTTATTTATTTATTTATTTTTGTGTAGAATGTGTGATACTTGAAGCTATTTACATGTGGCCGTTGGCGAAGTTCCATATAAAAGGAATATGTTAAATATTTGAGAACTACGTGGCAGGAATAGATAGGTATAATCTATTTTAGGAAGTGGGAATTTGGAAGATTTTTGCCTGGGTGTTTGTTGAATATACACAGGGAGGTGGGACTGTGTGGTTTGAAATAGTCGTTGAGAATTTGTGGCAGTTGTGGAGAGGGAGAGCAAGAGGGAGAGGCGGGTGGCAGTACTGAAGTGCCGTTTGAAAGTGGCGTCAGTACTGGAAAGGGTCAGCACCCCGGTGAGGCTTTCTCCAGTAAGGCTTTGGTTTCCTCTGGATTCCATCTAAGTCCAAGAAGATAACTGGGTTCCTCTAGACCAGAGGGTTTTTTGCCAAGTAATTTTGCGAGAAGGTGCTGGATAGGAGAGTTTAGAGAATGGGGAGGTGATGCGGCATCTTAACCTTCTTCAGAGAAGGAATGCAGAAGGCTACGGCCTCTGCGACCCAGGATGCAAGACAGTACCTACTTGGTTTACTTTGCGTGGTTTTCTAAAGAATTAAAATTGTTTTATTTTTGTTTTGGGGGGGGGGTCACACTTAGGTTAACAGATTTAACCTAAAAATCTTTTCCCATTTTTCGAATCTGTAACCTAGCACTGCTTAGGTTACTCCTGACTCTGCTCCGGGGTTACTCCTGGCAGTGCTCAGGGGACCATTACGGGTTGCCAGAGATTGAAACTGGGTTAGTTGCATGCAAGGCAGTGCCCTACCTGCTGTACTGTTGCTCCAGCCCCTCTCCTGCATGTTTCAAGGTATCTGGCACATAAATACTAAGCAACTCATTAACAAATGAAGGAATAGTTGATTTTTATTTCTTTTCCCATGGAATCTTAAAAATTATTGATATGTTTTTCTCAAATGATAATACCAATGAGTGAAAATCACCTTTCTCCTCCCCTTTCAGGCCAAATAGAGTAATGAGACTTCGTTTCAATCATTTTGCTACAGAGTGTAGTTGGGACCATTTATACGTTTATGATGGGGACTCAATTTATGCACCCCTAATTGCCGCCTTCAGGTAAGCTCAGCTCTTTGTTTTGGGGTTATTTTTCCTTTTTGATGTAACAGAAAGAGGACCAGCTCTTGGGTCCTGTCACTTGTGTCCTGACTTGATTTCTTCCCGCCAGTGGGTAAGTTTCTGGGCAGAGTGCTGGATCTTTTCCCAGTTTTTGAATCTGTAAAATTGTGATATTAATATTAAGTTTACCTATTTCTTTAGGTGGGGCTGAAGTTTACATTGTTCAAATGTTAAGTGCTGTATATTGAATAATGTAACACAGTAACAACAAAGTCTCACAATGGAGCCGTTACTGGGCCCCCTCGAGAAAATCAATGAACAACGGGAGGACAGTGCCAGAACAATGCCAGTTTTTGTTTTTGTACTATACCTGATGGTGCTCAGAGCTTATCCCTGGCTCTGCACTCAGGGATCACTCCTGGCATAGCTCAGGAACCATATGGGGTGCTGGGGAATGAACCTGGGTAGGCCACGCTCAAGGCAAGCACCTTGCGCACTGTACTGTCTCTCCAGCCTTGATAAGATTATTTCAGTGAAGAATTTAAGTGAAAAACAGTATCTGTCATGACCTTTGTGTTCTTCTTTGCATAAGCTTTAGTTGAGCTTTTGTTGCGTTAAGAAACAGCACGTGACTGTGGGCCACTTTACTTCGGTACCTTTATAGTGGCAAGGGGCCTCTTTAGAAGAACACACGTAAGTGAACCATTGTTGTCCATGGAGAGTGAGAAACCTGGTAGTTACACATTGTGATTTTTTTTTCTTCCTCACAACTTGCTTTCTATTTTCTTTTTCTGGTGCCAGGGATAGAACCCAGAGCCTCACATGTGCCAGGCAAGTGCTCTGCTGCCGAGCTATTATCCTGGCCCATTTTATTAATAGTTAGGCAAAACAGATTCACACTAAATCTGCATTTGTAGATTGTTCTGGGCATTTGAGCTTTTATTAACGACAAATCATCCTCTTATTGTACTTTTGACCGTGTGACCATTGAAAGCTGTTTGTCTTTTTTCTTGATAGAGGTTGGAACAAAAAAAGAAAACATTTTTCCAAAATACACATTTGCTTATGTACTCTGAGTTATCTGTTCATCTGCACCTGATTTTCTGCATTCTTTCCCCTCAAACATTTTACTTCCTTGACTTAAAAATAAATCAGTCCAGCCCATGTTTACTTTGTTCCAGACATGGGTTCAGCTTGTCTGTGTCAGAAGGAGCCAGAGCTTTGGAGGACACCAAGAGCTTCCCCACTTCCTTGAATTAGAAATCCCCACATCAGAGGTGGTTCATTTTTTTAGCTCACGCTAGAAACTGTGGTCAGGCCCAGAGAGGACATTTTTTTTTTTCCCCGGTTTTGGGGTGCTCTCTGGGCCCTGAGAGGATTTTTTTTCTTTTTGGGTCACACCCAGCGATGCACAGGAATTACTCCTGGCAGTGCTCGTGCTCGGCAGACCATATGAAACGCTGGGAATCGAAACCCTAGTGGGCCGCATGCAAGGCAAATGCCCTACCCGCTGTGCTATTGCTCCAGCCCCTTCCAGAGGATCTTGGCAGAGACAGACACCGTGTTCTTGTTCATGCCCCCTCTTGGACTAGTGAAAATACAGACCTAGCCTGGCTCCGGCCTCAGACTCTGACCCTTCCCTTGGAGAATCCAATTTACCTTCCTTGACTCCCTGCCTTCAAGGAATACAGAGTCCGTGTAAATATAAACTAGACCATTGTCTTGCAGCTAGTTTGTTGGTTTTGGGTCACCTCCAGCTGTTCCCAGGACTTACTCTTCAGGGATCACTCTGGAAGGCTCTGGGGCCCATATAGGATGCTGTGGATCTAATCTGGGTTGGTTAGTACAAGGCAAATGCCCTACCTGCTGTACTATCACTCCGCCCTCCCCTTTATATTTTTATTTAGAATGTTTTTTTTTTTTGAGGGGGTAGAGTGGGGATGGGTGGTGGAGGTGCTACACCCTGTTGTGCTCGGGCTACTTCCAGCAGTGTTTGGGGGACCATGTAGTGTTGGATTAAACCAGACTTAGTTCCGTCCAAGGCAAGTACCTTAACCCCTAGAGTGTCTCTCTTCGGCCTTAACCTTAGACAGCAGTTTTTGTGTTTCTGGGTGATTACTCAGTACTCAGCAGTGCTCAGGGTTTATCCCCAGCTCAGTGCTCAGGTATGAACCCTGTCGGTGCTCAGGGGACTAGAGATGGTACCAGGGATTTGAACCAGGTCTTAATGCAAGGCAAGCGCCTTACTTCCAGCCCAGATTGTGCTTCTGTTTATAAGAAATGTGCTTTCCTTTCAGCGGCCTCATTGTTCCTGAGAGAGATGGCAACGACACTGTCCCTGAGGTGGTCGCCACATCAGGCTATGCCCTGCTGCATTTCTTCAGTGATGCTGCTTATAATCTGACTGGATTCAATATCACTTACAAGTAAGATATTTATGATTTATTAAAGAGACTGTGTCTTTTGTTTGAGCAATGTTGAGTAACGTATATCAAGAGCATAAAATATACCAGGCCTTGAGCTAAGCAGTTCGTATGAATTTTCACATTGAGTTTTGTTTTTTCAAAAACAAAACACAACAAAACAGAGTGTAGGCACTGTTACCTGTTTGTTTTATAATTGAGGCAGGTGGCAGGACAAGGTAAAGGAAATGATCTAAGTGACAGGGGCACAGTTTCAACCCCTGCAGTGCCCTGCGTTGGCCAGGTGTCCTCAGGGAAGATCGGACCCTGGCTTTGGGGGGACCTCAGCCGGAGGAACCTTGGGGCTTGTGTGCCCTAAACTTCTCAGTTGTTTCCTCATTTTCTTTGAGAAGAAGAAACAAGGGTTTTTGTTTTATTTTCACACAGTTGTCACTTCATCTTATTTTTCATTTTGAGTCATTTTTAACACAGAAAATGAGACTAATTTCTCATTACTCCATATTAAATAGACATACAAGCAACATACTACTTGTAATTTGGACTTTTAAAGGATTTAAAAATTATTTTGTTGCAAGATTTTATGCAGCTGACTGATTAATTGGGTTTTAAGTTTTTATTTATTTATAATTTAAAATTTTTAGTCTTGGGGTCACACCTGGTGATGCTTAGGGGATTACTCCTGGCTCTGTACTCAGGAATTAGTCGGTGCAGTGCTGAGGTGACCATATGGGATGCCAGTTATTGAACCTGTGCGAGGCAAGCGCCCTCCCCACTGTCCTACCTTTCTGGCCCCTGATTTAGGCATGTCAGGTCAGCCTGTGCCTAAGGGCCTTGAGTGAAGGTTCTGAGAGTCAGTGAGAAGTTGACGTCACTCTTTTTTCCCTTTTGTTTTAAATGGGACTCCTTTTTTTCTCTGCTTTTCAGTGACATGTTTTGGGGCCGGAGAGGGAGCTCCGAGGATGACCGCATGCTCTGCGTGCAGGAGGCTAAGTTTTGGTCCCTGGCACCACATGGATCACCCCATGGCTCCCGGAGCCCCTCCAGGAGCAGCCCCTGAGCACTGAACTGGAAGGAGCCCCTGAGCATTGCTTTGTGTGGCCCCCAATCAAACAACAAAAAAACATGTTGTGGTAGTATGTTCTCATATCACTGATACGTGTGCAGGACAATATACTTTGACCTACTTGTGTCAGGTTTAGGTTTGAGTATATAATGGAAAAGCTTTCAGCTTTCTTTGTGCCTTTTATGAAAATGAAGTGGATTGTTTTTTTGTTTTTTGGCCCACACCCAGCAATGCCCAGGACTTACTCCTGACTCTGCGCCCAAGAAGTGCTCCTGGCAGTGCACAGGGGACCCTGTGGAATGCCAGGGATTGAACCTGGGTCGCTGCATGTAAGGCAAGCGCCCTACCTGCTGTGCTTTCTCTCCCGCTCCTGGAGTGTGGTCAAACAGCTATTTAATCATAACAAATCAGATCCGAAATTTAGATCTTATTTTTGTCAACTTTTGTCCTGCAAAAGGCCCTTTTCTTTATTTTTTCAGGGGCGGGGATGGGGGCAGGGAGTGTACCCCAAGCAGTGCTCAGGGTATCCATGGCCCATACAGGGTATCCATGGTCCATACCTGCTGTTCAGTGCTGGAACCCTAGGATGTGGTGCTGTTTGGGCCCTGAGGTTGGGGACCCCCAGGGCCACTCTGTAGAAGCTTGGCAGGCTTGTGGTGCCAGGACTGGAACCCAGGTCAGGGACATGCAAGGACACTGCTTTACCTTTGTACTCTCTCCCCTGGCCACAAAGGTTTTTTCCTTAGTAAAGATGAAATTAATCTTTATTGATGCTCATATATTTATAGAAATAGTAGGTACCACTTTCTAGAGGCCTACAGGAATGTCACAAGGCCTGGGATGTCATTTACAGCATTACTGTCACTATCACTATCACCCTATTGTTCATTGATTTGCTCGAGCGGGCACCAGTAACGTCTCCATCCATTCCTGTCATGTGCTAGTGAAGCCTGATGGCATATTGGGGGCTCTTTGAGGGTCAGGGGAATGAGGACCATCATTGTTACTGTTTTTGACATATTGAGTATGCCACAGGTAGCTTGCTAGGCTCTTCCGTGTGGGTGGGATACTCTTGGTAGCTTGTTGGGCTCTCCGAGAGGGATGGAGGCTTTTGGGGCAGCCTCTAATCACCTTTACAGGTGTTCCCAGTCAGGCATATATGCCGGCAGGAGACTCTAGGTAGCCTGCTGGGTTCTCTGAGAGTGAGAACTAGACAATAAGAGGTCACACGGCCACAAATGCCGGGAGCTTGGTTTTATAGTCTCTGGATCTTGGCCGTTGATGGGGTTGCATGGCAGTTGGTGGGTGTAACTGTCTAGCTACTGGAAGATGGGGGATCTGGGTAGAGGAGGCTCAGTCCCGAACTAAGCAGGCTTGGCGATCTCAGCCCCGGGTCCCACACACCTGGGTTCTTCTGCCAGTTCCTTCATGCGTGAGGCCCGTCCTAGTGTGTGGAGAGTGTCCTCAGCATGGCTTTGACTGGGTCCCAGCGGTCATCAGCTACCGGGGCTCTGCACAGGGCGGAGAGGGAAACTCAACCCGCCCCCCTCCAAGGGGCCCCAGTGAGGACAGCCAGGCGTGGGGCAGAAGACATTTTACATTTAAATTTAAATTTTACACACATTTATAGCATACTGACTAGTTAACAGTACTGGATAGGATATTTGATTATGGTCAAGAGACTGATCTTGAAGGTACTTCTCACCAGGGAGAAGGCATTGTAACTGAGGTCTATGCATGTGATTCATTGGTAGAACGCGTGCTTCCAGAGTGAGGGCCTGGCTTCAATTCTTGACAGCACATGTAAGCACAATAAATTGTAACTTTAGGTGGTGATGGTGATGACAGTTAATTTATTTACTGTTACACTCATTTTCTCCTGTACTATGTAATCATTATACCTGAAACTGATACAATGTTATATATCAGCTACATATCAATAAATGAAATAAAGTGTAAAAATATGCCATTCAATTTTCTAACTGGATACTTAACAGTCATAAGGATCTTAACACTTTAGGAATCAAGAGTGATTCCTTTTTCTTCTACCGCTTGAAAAGTCTAGCGTATGTATTATTATAATCATAATACAGATTTCAAAATTACTCTATTTGTAAAATTTCATTCTAAAGCTATCATAAATTGATCTTATGGTTGTCTTTGTGACAGACTTCTAGTTTTCTGACATGCTTTTCTGCAATTTTGTTTTTTTTCTTGACCTGTAAAAGTATCTTGACAGTCCCTTCCTTTAAAAAAATTAAAATTATGTTTTTTTAAGAGTTTGCTCGAGCGGGCCCAGTAACGTCTCCATTGGAGACTTTGTTGTTACTGTGTTTGGCATATCGAATACGTCACGGGGAGCTTGCCAGGCTCTGCCGTGCGGGCGAGATACTCTCGGTAGCTTGCGGGCACTCCGAGAGGGGCGGAGGAATCGAACTTGGGTCGGCCATGTTGGCTGCATGCAAGGCAAACGCCCTACCACTGTGCTATCGCTCCAGCCCGAATTCATCATTAGTAAACTTTATATAGACAAGTACGTGATACAGACCGAGGCAAACTATAATTGATTAGGGACTACCACCATCTCTGTTCTGTGACTTCAGTAAGAGAAGGATGGCCCCATTGTCTTGGTCACTAAGATGACGACGACCAAAAGAATCACACATTTTACTTCATTACAAAAGTGAACGTAAGGAGTTATGTAGTAGATCATGTTTTTGTGGTTTATTACTATTTTTTGACCTGGAGTAGGTGGTGACCCATACCCAGCAGTGCTCCGGGGGCTGATCTTAGCTCAGTGCTTGGGCTCACTCCTGCTGGTCCTGGGGAGGCCAGGCCATGCTAGGGAAGATCCTGGGCTTCCAGCATGCAAGTGCCTGTACTTTGTCCTTTGAGTGATCTTTCTGTCTCACATCATAGTTTTATGGGACACATGGTGATCAGTCTCCTAAATTAAAATTGCCCTTCCTCTGAAATGTGTAGATCAGCTTATTAAGGAACTTGAAATACATTGCCCTGGGCAATACTCTTAAACAAATTCTGCTACGTGTTAGAGATCGTCCCTCCAGTGCATTGTTTTATCCTTTTGTTCTCCAAATTCCCAAACGTGTGTTTGGCAGTTTCGTCATGCTCGTCTTTCACGAGCTGTCAGGAACAGAGTAGTCATCCCCACCCCTGTGAAACTAAGCCCTGTACAGTTCTGCTCGCCTGGTAATTTCTTTAACTTGCCTCCCGAGAATTCAACAGGGCTTATTTGATTAGCCTTCGCGAGACAGGGTTGAGTGACCCCCGTTTTGGCTTGCTGGTAAGTACCGCCAATGACTCTTATAAATCTACTCGGGAGATTCTGAAGTCTGTGTAGGAGGAAGTTCTACACAAAAGTAATTGAAGTGTTGCTTTGTGTTGATTTAATTTTCTCCCACTGTCTTTATAGTTTTGACATGTGTCCAAATAATTGCTCAGGCCGAGGAGAATGTAAGATCAGCGACGGCAGCAACACGGTGCGATGTGAATGCTCTGGAAACTGGAAAGGGGAAGCCTGTGACATTCCCCACTGTGTCAATAACTGTAGCTTTCCCCGAGGAGGCTTCTGCAATCCAGATAACGTCAGAGGCTGCTCCTGCTTTGCGAACTGGCAGGGTAAGGGCTGCTCTGTCGTTTCTCCTTTGACTTTGCAGGTTGTTTCAAGGGGAGTAAGTTCAAGGCTAACTTTATTCCCAGCACCCAGACTGCTTATGCATTTAAGCTTTTATGCATATATGCATTTAAGTTTAAATGCATCCAGTGCATTTAAGGACATTTAAGCTTCCACATCTCTTTATTCGATTTGCTCGAGTGGGCCCAGTAACGTCTCCATTGGAGACTTTGTTGTTACTGTGTTTGGCATATCGAATACGTCACAGGGAGCTTGCCAGGCTCTGCCGTGTGGGCGAGAGACTCTCGGTAGCTTGCCGGGCTCTCCGAGAGGGGCGGAGGAATCGAACTCGGGTCGGCCATGTTGGCTGCGTGCAAGGCAAACGCCTTACCGCTCTTTATTCATCTATCAGAAGCCTCTGAATTGGCTAGCTGTTTGGTTGGGGTCTCTTTAGAATTGGGTGTGGAGGTTGACAGGTTGACATCTTTTACAATTCTGTCAAAAAAGCAATCTGAGCCTCAAGACATGGCAGAGAACAGAGCAGGGAGCTGGGAAGAGACCTGCCAGTACTGTGGTCTCCTTAAAAATGTTCAGCAAATTGAGAGAAATTAGCGTCATTTACAGTCAGTTTCTGAGTCAGTCAAGTATTGTCTATTAAAGAAACTTCCGTCGGTTTTTTTTTTGGGGGGGGGCAGGGCTGGGGTTGGGGGCACATTTGGTTGTGCTCAGGGCTTACTCCTTGCTCTGTGCTCTGGGATCACTCCTGGTGCGACTTGGGAGACCATATGGCGTGCCAGGGATCCAACACAGGTGTTCAAGCACCCTCTTTTTTTCTTGGGTCGCATTCATGGCTTTTTTCAGACACGTTACTCATTTAGTAATTTTCTTTTCTTCACATAGTTCCTGCAGGACAGTTTTGTTTGGAAAGAAAATGCACTTGTTTAAAGGCTCAGTTTGGTGGGTTTGTCTGGCATTAAGGAGTTAAAAAGCTAAAGTCATGTGAGTACCTGGATTGAGCAAATATTGCAGCAGAAGCCAAACCTCCCATGAATGAGGTTTCTTAATTTTCCAGGAAATGGATCGTTTGTGCCATTACTCTCAGGACTCAATGTTACATTTTAGCCCTACGGGTGTTTTCTCATTTGGATTAATAAATCCCTAACCCACTCTGTTCCTCTGAGAGCTGCTTCTCTCAGATTTCTTCCTAAAAATTCTGATTTGAGTCCGCTCAAGTCAGTGGAGAAAGTGTGTAATTTCTAGGTCTGAATAATTTGAAAGGATAATCAACAGCTTCACCTTTGGTTTTTTTTTTTCAAGTTTGCAGGAAAGTCTATTTTAATTATTTGTTATTTTTAGATGATGAAGTCCTGCAATCCAAAACCCTTTAAGCTGTGTTTTGCAGGGCTAATTTATTCTGTTTTGTTAGGTCCCGGATGTTCAATTCCTGTACCAGCTAACCAGTCATTTTGGACTCGAGAGGAATATTCTAACCTAAAGCTTCCCAGAGCCTCTCACAAGGCGGTGGTCAATGGAAACATAATGTGGGTCATTGGCGGGTACATGTTCAACCACTCAGATTACAGCATGGTTCTCGCGTAAGTCACTTTCAACTCTTTTGCAAGAAGCTTAGTTCTCTGTTTTGAAATTTTATAACTAGAGGAAAAAAGAGATCCTTGTTAATTTCATTACCGCAGGAAAATTCCTTGTGTATGTTTCAGTAATAATATTTCAGATTACTATTTATTTGGTGGGGGATGGAGTAGGGGACATATTCTGAGTTTTTTTTTAAGTTGGGAATTCATTGTCTTATTAAATAATAACTTTTCTTTTCCAGATACTGTTTCTGGTATTTTGTTTTGAACACCTAGCGTAGATCTTATTTAAGTTGGGGTTTACCTCTTATTTAGCAATCTACAGGTCAAGTGATTTGAATTTATAATGTGCTGGTAGAAAGGATAAACCACTAATTCTGTTCAGGATTCATGGTCTATTTCCTGGACCCAGTAGAATAAAATTAATAATAATAATAATAATAAAATCCTGTCCTGGTTCCTCATCTTGAAGGACAAATATATGTTGTCCAAGTGAATTTACCTCTGGAGATTGACTTTGGGGTAAATATACAAGTTCTTATTCACACTTATTTATGACCTAGACATTTTAATAATAATTTCAGATGGAAGAAAAGTCTCATAGGAACATAGAATAGCTACAAAGTCCTTTAAAAAAGCAAGAAAGTACCCAGCAGCTTTTGGCAGAAATGCGTCTGGTCCCTGCAGTAGGTTACCGGCCTGGGGTAAAGAGTGCTGTCCCTCCAGCTGCTCCCCCTTGGTGGCTCGGTGGCCGCCATCCTCAAGAGGCTATTGAATAGTCAGGTTTGGGCCCCCAGTGACAAGACACACGGGCCTCATGGGATGGGGGTGAAGCCGGCCTTTCCTCCCCACCCCAATGAGACCCCAAGTCACCGCCCACGAAAGTCCCCCTTGGCTCCTGATCAAGCTACTTAATGGCCATGATCCCAGAGACTCAGGAACAAATCTCGGAACCAAGCAGGTTTTGGCAGAAATTCCTCCAAATTTAATTGTTAAAATTTCAGAATTCCAAAATCATGCAGCCACTACTGCAGCTGTGCAACATGTTATTCATAACCAGCAACAGAAAACAAATTGTCTATGGTTGCCTTTTTTACAGATCTGAGGTTGGGGTAAAATCCCAAATAATAATGGTGGGTCTGGTGTCAAAATATTGAATGTAATCAAAGTAGAGAGAGACTGATGTGGAAATCATCTGCCCCAAAAGAAGGGGGAGGGTATGGGATGGAGGGTAAACTGGGGTTTTGGAAAATGGGCACTGGCATTTTCCGTCACTGGTTCTACGTACTTGAATTTTTTAGAAGATTTAGTCTCTTGCATGTGTGGGGGGCTCAGGATAAGTCTGTGAAGATCGGCTGTGAAGGGTGTGGTGATTGGTTTCTGGAGGTTTGGGGCTGCCAGGGTATGTCTGGAGCAGGCGGAGAGGGAGACTGCCTGCTCCCACTACTCCCATCTGAGGTGGGCGCGTGGTGGGAACCATCCCTGCTAGCTGGAGTTTCTTTTCCATCTGATAGTAATGAGGTCACTCTGACCACGTTAGTTGTCCGTGGAAACTGTTTGGAGAGCCCGAGTTTTCACTCCCACCTGGTTAACAAGCTGTCATGGGTCAGTCGTCCCCTTCCCCACAGGGCATGGTCGAGGAGGTTGACCATGGCAGGATATCTAAGAGCCAGAGACACGTACGTGTAAGGGTATGGCTTCATTGAAAAATCATTTGTAGTGCTGGAAACTAGGAAAATCTCAACCTGCGCAAGGGAAGACACTCAGGAGACACTGACACCAGGATGACAATATGTGAAAATTACCTAGCAAGAATCTTGAAGTAGTCGGGGCTTAAGCGATAGCACAGCAGGTAGGGCGTTTGCCTTACACGCGGCTGCCCCTTGTTCGATTCCCAGCATCCCATATGGTCCCCTGAGCTCTGCCAGGAATAATCTTGAGTGCAGGAGCAACCACTGTGCATCACCAGGTGTGACCCCAAAAGCAAAAAAAAAAAAAACTTAAAGCAGTAATAATAAAAATTCTTCCACGTGAGTTTACTGGCACACATGAAACAAGTGAAGAGTGGAGTTTTACCAAAGACAAGAAGTAAGGATGAATGAAATGGAAATTTTAGAACTGACAGGTACAATGACCCAAGTAGAAGAAAATCTCAGTGAATTTTTAGACTTAATATTTTTTCATTTCAAAAAAGTTTAAAAGCCCAGCAGTAGAATGGAGAGGACAGAGGGAAAAGAGAAGTCAGTCTTCCTGAAGATAGTACATGGAATTATTTTAGTCTGAACAACTGAAGGCAAATAGAAAAAACAAAATAAGAAACAGAACTCCTGAGACCTATAGACCAAAATCGGGAAGAAAAATCTTCCCATTTCTTTCACCTGAGAAAGAGAGAAAGAGGCTGTGTCTGACAAAGTATTGGAAGAAATAATGGCTGCAAACGTCCCTGCTCCCCCAGAGGTGCATGTTGTTGTTTTTGTTCGGTTTGGGGCCACACCTGATGATGCTCAGGGATTACTCTGGGATCTGCACTCAGGCACTGCTCCTGGCTGTGCTGTCTGAGATGCAGGGATCGAACCTGAGTCTGTCACATGCAAGGCAGGTGCTCCGGTACCTCCATTTTATCTCCTTTTTCTACTCTTACTCATCATTTTTCAGCTCCCCACTGTATTTTCTCTTATTTTAATTCCCAGCAATCCAGTTCCAAATTTTTTTTATTTTATTTATTTATTTTTTTGGGGGGAAAGGCCACTAGCAGAGGACTCCTGGGAATCCCATTGGCCCGCAATGCTGTCTTCTGTGTGGGTCTCTGTCCCACTGGCAGTGTTCAGTATCTGCACTGTCACAGTATCAGCCGTGTGTGTGGTTCCCGAGCATGTGAAAAGGGTGTCTCGTGTGGCTGAAGGGCTGAATTTTTGATTTTTCCATTCCCAGTCCGCGTCTTATTTGATCTTTTCCCCAGCATTTGGTGCAGCTGGCTCCCTCTTGCCTTTTCCCAAGCCCTTCACTTAACTTCCGGGACTCTGGATATTTTCTGTATTTCTTCCTCCTGACTCCCTCTGCCCTTGTTCCTCCTTTGCGGGAGTGTACAGTGACTCTGTTGGTACTCTGGTGCAGCAGCTTGGTCTGTGTACAGGTGCCCCTGAATTTATATATCTGCTGGCCCGACTTCTCACCTGGCCCTCCGTCGACAACTCTGCCTTTTGTATGACTAGTAGGTATCTGAAACACACTGGGCTGGAGCGATAGCACAACGGGTAGGGCGTTTGCCTTGCACGCAGCCAACATGGCCGACCCGAGTTCGATTCCTCTGCCCCTCTCGGAGAGCCCGGCAAGCTACCGAGAGTATCTCGCCCGCAGGGCAAAGCCTGGCAAGCTACCCGTGACGTATTCGATATGCCAGACACAGTAACAACAATTCTCACGATGGAGATGTTACTGGGCCCGCTCGAGCAAATCGATGAACAACGGGAGGACCGTGACCGGACCGTGACCGGACCGTGACCGTGACTGTGTCCAAAATTGAACTTCCCTATCCATCCCTGTCACCTGAAAAAAAAAGAGGCTGTGTCTGACAAGGTGGAACTTGTCCACTTGGAACTGGACTCTTGCAGCAACTTACAGTTTTTTGGCTGGTAACTTTATAAGTCACATTTAGTTTTCAGATTGTAGGTATTTCTACTTGTATTTGATCTGGAAGTGACTTATAGCTTTAAGTGTTTCGTAAATATTAGTATGGTCCTATGGGGTCAGAGAGATGATATAAAGGGGAAGAGCACTTGTTTGGCACACGGTCAGCTCGGATTGGACCTGAAGCACCAACCCCCACCCCAGTCCCCACCAGGAATTATCCCTGAGCATACCCAGGTGTGACTCAAAAACAATTTTTAAATTAACTTATGAAAAGTAAAAATAGTAATTCCTCTGAGAAGTATTTCTAGGACTTAAAATATATCATCACCTATGTTTTCCTATAAATGTGTTTCGGAACATGTACTTTATTTTCTGCATAGCCCTATTAGTTTTTTGTACATGACCTTGTGACTTGCCTTTTCCCCCTTGCTTTTCGCTTTTGAACCACACCTGGCAGTACTCAGGAATTACTTCTGGCTGTGCTCGGGGGACTGTATGGGGCACCAGGGATGGAACCCACGCCAGCTGTGTGCAAAGCAAGTGCCCTACTTGCTGCATTATGTCTCTGCCCCCTGTGATATACCTTTAAGTTATGTCCCCCCAGAGGTCTTCTTGTAAAATCAGGTGTTCTTGACCTTCTGGGCTAAGATTTTCAAGAGAGACCAGAGCAGTAGTACAGTGGCAAAAAGAAAAGAAAGAATGGGGGGAAAAAAAGATTTTTGATGGAAATTTTCACACTGAAGTTTCTTCCTTCGTGTTACAAAGTTGCTTGTGATTGGGTTTCAGTCATATAATTTCCAACACCCATCTCTTCACCAGTGTATATTCCCAACACCAATGTCCCCAGTTCCCCTCTGGCACCCTCTCGATGTCCCCGCTTCCTCGCCAGTGGCAGGCACTTTTTTCTTTCTCTCTTTCTTTCTAACTTTACAAAAATAGTACAGAATTGAGCCACAGGTAGCCAAAAGGACTAGTTGTCTAATTCAGTAAACCTTTTATCTATTTATTTGGAAGTGCTGGGGATCGAACCCAGGACCTTCTACGTACAAAGCAAGCAGTCTACCACTGAGCTATGTACCCACTCCTAATCCAGTAAACTTAATTTTATTATTATTTTGGTAACATATAGTTCTTTGCTGGCTTTTCTGTTTGTTTTTGAATTTGTTTGTTTGTTGAGCCATACCTGGCGGAGCTCTGGGGTCGTTCCCAGTCTGTGTTCAGGAGTCACTCCTGACAGTGGTCAGGGGACCTGTGGTAGTGGGAAGCCTTCTCATGCGTGGCATGTGCTCAGCTTGTTGAACTATTTCTTTGACCCAGAGCGCAGTAAACTTTAAAACAGGTTCTTAGGGCTGACTCTCTTTTCTACTGAATAGGAAGAAGCCTACTGATGAGATTATTAGAATTCTCACTAATAGCCCCAAATCTGAGAAAAAGCAAACTGAGTAGGTGTTTGGTTTGGTTTTTATTTTAAAGAATAGGAAAAATAGTTGCTGGGGAGAATCTAGGTAATTTGGGAAATTCTTTGGCAGTGGGGTAGGGCACTTAAGTATAAAAGGAGAAAAAAATAAAATAAAGTATCAGAGGAGAGTCTAAATACGTTAATTTTTTTTTTCTTTTAATTAAAGGGTCATGATTCACAAAGTGCTGATAGTTGAGTTTTAGGCATACAGTAATTCAACACCAATCCCTGCACGGGTGTCAACTTCCTTCCACCAGTGTCCCCAGATTCCCTCCGGACCCCACGCCCTGCCCATCCCCACTATCAAGTTGACAGGCACACTACAAAACTAAAGTTTCGTTGGTTGCCACTTAGATCTCATGTTTTCAGTTGTGTTGAATTGGTGTTTTGGATATACGGTGATGTCACTGTGTCACTGGTATAACTGGAGGCCTGGTGTCTGTTCACCCATTGCTTCTCATTCTCTTCTCCTTCCTTGATTGCTTTCCTTCTCTGTCCATCTCCAAACGCTGGAGTCAAGGGTGATATAGGCAGCCTCCTTTTACTACAATACATCTCCGCATCCAGTATTCTGTTCCACAGATAAGTGAGATCATTCTGTGTTTGTCTCTTTTCCTGACTTACTTCATTCAATATGATATCTTCCGGTTCTAAGTACCTTTTCTAACTGTCCACACGCAAACCCTCCATTTGAGTTCCAATATTTCTTCAGACCTAAGAAAACAACACAGCTCAAAATTCTCACACTAAAACGAAGATGCAAAGATAAACTTGTTTTAGATACAGTAGGAAAAGAACTAAGAAGTCTTTGCAAGTACAAATGTCCATAGTGCAACCACAAGATGAAATAAGTGACAATGTAGCTCATACAGATACTCTTTGATTAAAAAAAAAATCAGCTGGAAGAAAAAGCACAGCAATAAATAAATAAATAAATAAATAAATAAAGCTCACCGACTTCTTATAGAGGGAAAGCAACTTGAAGGAGCAAAAGGTTCCTTTCCACTGCTGCTTTTTATAGCTCAGTCTTTATGGGGATTTTAATTCAGTAAAACAAGCTGAAAGGCAAAAAGGTAACCTAGAATGAGATGAACTGGGAGATTACACACCTAACAAACGTGAATTACAGAAAGAATGAGAATGCAAATTGTGTCACCAACAACATGAGTACAGATGAAAAATTAGAAATGGAGAAATCTAAAGACATGTGGGAAGAAAAGACCCCAGGATAGACAATCACTGGCTCTGAAGAAAAGATCCCAATAAAGGGGACAGATGGGTTGAAATAGCCCAAAATTGTTCCAGGAAAATTTTATACTTGGGTGACCAGACCTACTCTGATTATTATTGAACTTTTAGAATAAATCGCAAGTTATTGGGTGGGCAGCCTCATGTAGTTCTGGTCCTGTTCGCAGAACCTTTACTTTATTGGGCCTTTTGGTTTTTAGGCACTGGATTGGAATCCGCCAGGAAGAATTCATGTGGGAGATAGCTCAGCTTGGCTGGAGGAAACTCATTCTTTTTGTTTTGTTTTGTTTTGCTTTTTGGGTCATACCTGGCGATGCTCAGGAGTTCCTCCTGGCTCTGCACTCAGGAATTACTCCTGGCGGTGCTCAGAGGGACCATATGGGATGCTGGGAATCAAACCCTGGTTGGCTTCGTGCAAGGCTAATGCCCCACTGTGCTATTGCTCCGGCCCCAGAGGAAACTCATTCTTGGGTTCTGAAGTTGATCAGTGATGATCTGCTTGCTCAGGACTAGTTACTCGTTATTTCATTTGTTACCTTGGACTCAGCTCCAATAAGGAGGAGTGATTATTTGGTGTTTGTCCTTTCTTATGTTTAATTGTGTGTGTGGGGGGGGTGCATTCCTCCCACACCCCACTGTTTCCCGCCTTGTGATTGCTTCTCTGGGTTGTGAAGAGTGACAGTTTTGTTGTTGTTGTTGTTGTTGTTGTTTTTAATTTATGTGACTTTCTTTGGAAGTTCATCTTACCCAGGTTATAGGGACTTGCCAGCAACCTTAGTGGTCCCGGCCAGTTCTTGGGCTGATGTGTTGTGGAGGAGGAACAAATATGTTGAGATGCAGATCGAGCCCCCTTGACGTCACTTGGAAATGAAGTGATTTGAGTCATTTGGAAAATTGCTTCTGTGTTTCAGTTTCTCTCTTCTTCTTTCCTCTCCCTCAAACTGATAGAAACAGACTTTTGACTTGAACATAATGGGAATATGTGTTCTCAGGAAACATTCTCCAGCGTCAGAGCTCCACAAAAGTGTTGCAGTGGGATGCAATCTATTTTTTAAGACTATTTCCCGGAATGGATTTGGGTTATTTCTGCCTCAAAGCAGTCTTGCATCTTTAAAAAATAGTGTGAGAAAGGCATATGGTGGGGGAAGGGGATGGAGAAGTGGGAGGGAGAAAGATCAAGAACAACACCCCTAACAAATATGTAAATACATAAAAATAAGAAGAGAATAAGTTCAGACTGGCCTCATAATTCTCCATAACGGCATTCATGTAGGGAACGCTCCAGAGAGGGTCATTGAGATTACTATACCCAGCCAAGATGTCATCCACTGGTAAAGCCAGCAAGCAGACCTTCCTTCCTTCCTTCCTTCCTTCCTTCCTTCCTTCCTTCCTTCCTTCCTTCCTTCCTTCCTTCCCTTCTTCCTTCCCTTCTTCCTTCCTTGACACAGACAGTGATGCTCAGGTGTTACTCCTGGCTCTGCACTGGGGAGTTACTCATGGTGGTGCTTGAGGGACCGTGTGGGATGCGGGGGATCATGCCCAGATTGGCCATGTGCAAGGCAAATGCCCTTCCTGCTGTATTATCTACTATCACTCTGGCCCCCAGATATTTTTTGAATATGAAATGATAATGAGCATCTCATTTTGGAGGAGGTCACTCTGGGATCTGTGCTCAGGGCACCAGCGAATCGAGCCGGGTTTGTGGCCACAGCCCAGGCCAGGCAAGTGCCTTACCTTTGTTTTGTCTCTCTGGTCCTGTCATGAGAATGTTCAAGCTGGATTGTGTCAGAAGCGTATAAAATAGTTTTGCTTGATCATTTGGGTAAAAATAATCATGTTTATTTTGTAGATACGATCTTTCCTCTAAGGAGTGGCTTACACTGAACCAGTCTGTGAACAATGTCATGGTTAGATACGGACATTCCTTAGCGTTACACAAGGTAAAGTATTTCCATTTTGTGGGGCTCGAAATTCAGCTCTTACAGTTATTTTATCTTATTATGTAATTGAAAAACTATTGGTTATTCATGTCATCAAAAACACCATTGGTTATTCCCTCTCCCTTGTAAAACAGACCCAATAAAGAATTTATCATAATTTGATTTTTATATATGGGGTTTTTTCCCCCCCTTTTTTCAGGGCTTGGGATTGAATCCAGTACCTCCCACATTGGGTGGAGGTGGGGTGGTGATCTACCCTTAAGCAACTTTTCTGCTCCTTCAGGAGAGCTAATGTACCGTCTGGTGGTTCTAAATGCATCCATAATGTTCTGCAACTGTCACTCATCCTTCTCCTGCACTTTTTTCATCTTTGAGTTATAGGAAGAAGTTAAAGTTGAAACAGATTTAACACAAGAAATTGTTTTTGTTTTTGTTGGATTTCCTTTTGGCAGCCTTAATCCCCAAACTGTCCTCTCCAGCCCAACACAAGACATTTTAATGGCTTTAAATTATTCTTGGATATCCTGACTGTGATGCCACATGGCAAAATAATGTAGATTAGCTTTTATGATCTTTAGAAAGTTTAGCCAACAGTAGTCATATTGCAGTATCCCTAAATACTCACTTTCACTGCCATGTTTTTGTGGCTTATGTTGGGATGCGGGGAGAATCAAGCCATTTTATAACGTGAAAACTCAAGCCTGAGAGACTCCCAAGGCAAGGATTGAAAAAAGTAGTAGAGAATATGATTTATTTTTATTCTTTTTCCCTTTTCCTAATAATTCACCTAAAGGGGCATGGTCTGTTTCTATTCTCAGATGTTTTCCTTTGCATTTTTTTTGAGAATTTTGTTTACATTTTTCCTAGGGAAAAATTTACATGTATGGAGGAAAAATTGATTCAACAGGGAATGTAACCAATGAGTTGAGAGTATTTCATATTCATAATGAGTCCTGGGTGCTGCTGAGCCCCCGAGCCAAGGAGCAGTATGCCGTAGTTGGGCATTCGGCACATATCGTCACATTGAGCACTGACCGTGTGGTCATGCTGGTCATCTTTGGTCACTGTCCCCTCTATGGATACATAAGCAACGTGCAGGAATATGACTTGGGTACGTATACTTTTTTCCATTGGATATTTTTTGAGTACTGTATTAAAAACCTTATTATTAGGACTTTATTATTAGGACTTATTTGGACTTGAACCTAATTTTGAGCCAGTATTTTATCTTGAGATGCTGTTAATACCCAGAGCATTAGCCACTGACATTCAAATGACTCATGCCAATGTCTAATATGTATCTGTTGCTATTAGTCTGGCAAGCAGGCAGAGATGGAACTAAGTGCTTTGGGTATTAAAAAAAAAAAGAAATAAGTAGATTAAAATGGTTTGAAGCAACAAATATTCTGAGGGAGAAATTTTTTTTTGGCTAGCCTTTTAGAGACTGGTTTTGAGCGTGTGATTTCTCCTGAATGCGTAATCATCCGATGGTTGACTTTTATTGTGTCTGTTGTGATCATTGAAGAAAGTAAGTATATATCTGTGAGGTGACAATTAAATGTCATGGATAATTAAGTGTCTGGCTGAGGGGAATCAGAGTCTTAAATTGAAAGTCTCTTCCTCTGTGACATCGTTGAGCTCGGCCATTGAAATGTTTAACGAGTTGGAATTTGGCCACCTGGCTCTGTTACAAGTTTTCCGGCGCCTTCCTTCGAAAATGATGATTTTTCAAAGAATGAAATTACTATTATTAGTGCATTAAGGCCTCCTGAGTTGCCCTCTCTTATCCTTAGCCGTTTGGCATGTTTCAGTCTGAGGGAGGAGTTGCCTTCAGTGTGGGCCTTACTGTTTTCTCTTGGCAGATAAGAACACGTGGACGATACTGCCCACCCAGGGCGCCCTGGTCCAAGGAGGCTACGGCCACAGCAGCGTTTTCGACCGCAACACGAGGGCCATCTACGTCCACGGAGGCTACAAGGCTTTCAGTGCCAACAAATACCGACTCGCCGACGATCTCTACAGATATGACGTGGACACGAGGATGTGGTAGGTTGCTTGCTCTGCCTTCCCAAGGGGCGGATTCCAGACAAGCATTTTCTAGGAAGACTCTGTCGTATGGTTTTCTTGTTTTTAAGACCTTGCAGATAACTCAGTTCAGCATTATCAGCAGATAAACTTGGAAATAAATAGAAGGCAATAAAGTGGCCCGTATTTGCATCCTCTCATTTTGGCATGGGTGACTTGGAAAATGGAATTTGGGGACTGGATTTCAGTTTCCATGTGCTCAGGGCTTTGGTAACATTTTAGGTCTTCCTAATCCTAGGGAATAAATTACTCTACATAACTCCTTACGTTCACTTTTGTAATGAAGTAAAATGTGTGATTCTTTTGGTCGTCGTCATCTTGGTGACCAAGACAATGGGGTCATCCTTCTCTTACTGAAGTCACTGAACAGAGATGGTGGTAGTCCCTAATCGATTATAGTTTGCCTCGGTCTGTATCACGTACTTGTCTATATAAAGTTTACTAATGATGAATTCGGGCTGGAGCGATAGCACAGCGGTAGGGCGTTTGCCTTGCATGCAGCCAACATGGCCGACCCAAGTTCGATTCCTCCGCCCCTCTCGGAGTGCCCGGCAAGCTACCGAGAGTATCTCGCCCGCACGGCAGAGCCTGGCAAGCTCCCCGTGACGTATTCGATATGCCAAACACAGTAACAACAAAGTCTCCAATGGAGACGTTACTGGGCCCGCTCGAGCAAATCGATGATCAACGGGAAGGCCTTTACCTTTTACCTTAATAATGAATTATGAGATAGTGTAATTATATAGCAGTGCTTTCTCTCTCTCTCATTTTGGTTACTTGTATTTCCTTACATATTTTGAAACCATGCTACATGAATTCTGTTTTCCGGTCATAAAAAAATCATAATTATTTTAGTGCTTGTCCATTGTCTGGGTGTGCTGTGTCTTTTGTATTCTGTTTTTGTGCCACGCTTAGCTGTTGCTCAGGGGCCACTCCTGGCCGAGCTCAGGGGTCCATAGTGGTGCCAGGTATTGAGTCAGGGTCCACCACGTGCAAGGCAGGCTCTGTACCCCTGTACTGTTCTTCCGGTCTCTTCCAGCCTGTATTAAAAACTTCATGTGAGAATTCCTAACTCTATGCTTTCTTCTAGAAACTGGAATTGTAGAGCCATAACTTTTTTTTATTTGTTTTTGGCAGAACTGGGGATCAGACCCAGAGCCTCACACACACACTTGACAGGCAAGTGTTCTGTCATTGACCCACTGCCTTGTTGTTGGGTCGTGTCGTGAATGTTTTTAATACTCATGATGGTTTTTTGGCCAAAATTCTCCCTTCATGATTTTGTATGTTTATTGTATTAAAGAGTAATTTGTAGGGAAAGGACCAGAAGTATTTGCACAGTTGGGTCTGAAGTTGAGAAAATAGTTATGTTTGTATCAGCAGATAAATGAAACCTGTTCTGAAAATCTCACCTGTGTTCATTGTCTTTGGATCCTTCCTGAAGGACCATCCTCAAGGACAGCCGGTTCTTCCGCTACCTGCACACCGCGGTGGTGGTGAGTGGCACCATGCTGGTGTTCGGAGGGAACACGCACAATGACACCTCCATGAGCCACGGCGCCAAGTGCTTCTCCTCAGACTTCATGGCTTATGACATTGGTGAGTTGGCGCGGAGCCAGGCAGGGTCCACGAATCCTTTTGTCTACAGAGCAACCTTCAGAATAAATGTCACCATTTAAAAATGGGCAGGCCATCTGAAAGAGGTCTGGATGAAGGGGACTGGAGCGATAGCACAGCAGTAGGGCTTCTGCCTTGCACGCAGCCAACATGGCCGACCCGAGTTCGATTCCTCCGCCCCTCTCGGAGAGCCCGGCAAGCTACCGAGAGTATTTGATATGCCAGACATAGTAACAACAAAAGTCTCCAATGGAGACGTTCCTGGGCCCGCTCGAGCAAAAAATTATTATCATAATTATTATTTTTTAATGTCAGCGCTGTGGTTTCCGGTTATTCACAGTTGAGTGTTAGGTAGACAGTGTCCCCTCACCTGCCTCATCGCCGTTGTCAGCTTCCTTCCAGCAGTGTCCCCGTTGGCCCCCCCCACCCCCTCCTGACAGGCACATTTCTGAGTCTGGTGATTGTAGTTTGGATCTCATGCTTTCAGTTGTGTTGGTTCTGTGGTTCAGCTGTATCGTTTGGTTTGGTTTGGGTTTAGGCGCCCCACCTGGCTGTTCTCAGGGCTTACTCCTGGCTCTGCACTCAGGAATTATGCTTGGTGGTGCTCAGGGGACCATATGGGGTACCTGGGATTAAACCCAGGTCGGCCACATGCAAGGAAAAAGCCCTACCCACTGGACTGTCGCTCCAGTCTGGAGATACAGAGTTAAATAGTGCCGTTTACCACCAGTGTTCCATGGCCCCTACGCCCTAGTTGCTTTTCATCATCAGTTGTTTTAAAAATTGTTCTTGTCACCAACTTTAATAATAAAAATTTTCTGGGGCCATTCCCTTTAGTTGAGTTTTTATTTCGGAGCATGAGCTGGGGTTAATGGGCTCTCCTGTATTAATGAGGCCTTACACATTAGTGTGATGTCTCTGTGCATGCCAGCTGGTGTCAGGGCAGTTAATAATGGTTTTATAGCATCCCCTAGAAACTGGTCTCACACATGGTTGATGTGTACCAAGCCAAGACTTGGTACACGTTTTACAAAAATTTGGTGTGATGGTGGGCTTGACCAGGAGAGGGCAGCATTGGTCCATGCAAAACACGTGCTGCCAATTCTCTTGTATAGATGTCGGAACTTTCGTGTTTGGTTTCTGTGCAGTGTCATCGAGGGAGCCCGGACCTCACATATGTCAGGTGGGCGCTCTGAGTCACACCCCCGCCCCCAGATGTTCATTTTTAATAGACATTTTGGTGCCAGTCTCAGAATTTGAACCCTGGTGTTTGTGAGAGGACTGGTAAGCCCCTGGGGAGGCGACGTGAACAGGCAGCAAAACTGCAGCTCAGAGGGTTACTTGCTCTGGAACAGGATGTCTGAGAGTGTTTACGGCTAGCCCCTTTATCTATGTGGACTGACGTTTCTGTGGTCAGGGGTTTTCTGGGGTCCTGGGATTAAACCCAGGTCGGCCACATGCAAGGAAAAAGCCCTGTCTTTTAATTCTCAGGCTTGGCGAGAGCACCCACCCTCCATCTCGGCCCACACGAGGTACCCGGGGGGACAAAGATGCTTTAACCTCTCTGCTTTCAAATCACACTGGCCAGAGACAGAAAACCTCTTTCTCTCTCTCTCTCTCTCTCTCTCTCTCTCTCTCTCTCTCTCTCTCTCTCTCTCTCTCTCCCCCTCTCTCCCCTTCCTTTCCATTCTCCCTCCCCCTCTCCCTCTCCCTTTCCTTCCTCTCTCTCCCTCCCCCCCCCCCCCCCCCCACACACACTTTGGGTCACTCCTACTCCTGGCGGTGTTCAGGAGACCCTGAGGTACCAGGGATAAAATCCAGGACTTCATCATGCAAAACAGGTGCTCCAGCCCCCTGTGCCATCACCCCGGCCCCAGAGGAAGCCCCTTCCCCTCCCCACAGCAGGCGGGTACCTTGGGTACCCAGGGAGGTCAGCTTGCCAAGTTAGGCAGGATGTCTTGGGCACAGGAAGCCCAGGTGTATGGGCACACAGGTGCAAGGAGACGGTGCCTTTCCCTCCGGCCTGTGAGTAGTTATTTTTGGCTCCATCTGCAACCGATGAGGGAAGAGTGGCTTCAAGCAGGATCGGAGAAGGAAGCAGCGTTCAGACTGGATAGATCTCTTGTGGCCTCTTATGTGTCCTGCAGAGCAGAGTTTGGACCCTGTACGAGTTCTGTGGAGGTGGTGACAGATTAGTACTCATGTCTTCAGGTCTCTTTGTGGCGTTGTCATTGGACAGGTGCAGAGGTGAAACTTAGGAAGCAGTTGCTGAGGCCCTGGTGAGGGTTTGGAACAGCCTGTGGCAGTGAGGATAGAGAGATGGACTTGGGAATGACCGGGAATACGGGAACATGGGGCTTGCCTGATGTGTTTTGGTTTGTTTGGGGGGCTACACCTGGCAGTGCTCAAGGATTACTCCTGGCTTCGTGCTCAGGGATCACTCCTGGCAAGGCTCAGGGGACCTTCTGGGGTGCTGGGCAATGGAACCCAGGTTGGCCTTGTGCCAAAGGTAAACACCCTCCCAACTGTAGCATCTCTCTGGCCCCGGCCAGTGTGTTTTGAAAGCAGAGAGGTTAGAGCATCTTGGTCCCCCTGGGTACCTGGTGTGGACCATGATGGAGGGTGGGTGCTCTTGACAAGCCTGAGAATTAAAAGACAAGCAGGCCCCCGGAAGAAGTGGATGCACTGAGTGTGGGGCATGTTCGGCAGGAGATTGCACTGAGCAATGCAGAGATCACCGGGAAACTGAGTGATACCAGAGCACGCGCCTGCAGAGAGGAGTGAAGGGCCAGAGCATGGCTAGGTGAAAGTTTCCGAAAGAGTTTGGAGGCTGTCAAAACCTATCAGGGTCACAGACGGGGGCAGGTGAGACCCCTCCCCAGGGGACCCAGCCCTGGCAGCCAAAAACCTCCAGAACTCAACCGCCACCATGCTCACAGCCATTCTCCATATGCTCAAGCCGAGCCTCACCCATGAGTGAACCCCCAGAAAACCCAGATATGCAGGACTTTGTGACTGAGAACTCTTGAGTTCAATGAATGCGGCTACACACTTCATAGGACACACCCTACCCATACTCCAAGAGTACCGCACTACTTTTGATGGGATTCAAGCAGGAGACAACCTACCTTAGAGGGAAATATGATATTATTTTGGGGTGCTTTGGGATAGGGATCTGGGTATGGGATGAACATAACCAAAATATGGTGGTTTGAAGGTGTATGGTGGTAGAATTTGTGTTTGAATATTCACGATCACAATCATCCTGTTGTTCGTCGATTGCCTCGAGTAGGCACCAGTAACGTCTCCTTCGTCCTAGCCCAGAGATTTTAAAGTGCCATATTCGAGGCTCTTTCAGGGTTAGGAGAATGAGACCCATCATTGTTACTGGTATTTGGCATATTGGGTACGCCACGGGGAGTTTGCCAGACTCTGCCATGTGGGCAGGTTACATTTGGTAGCCTGCCAGGTTGTCCAAAGTAAGAATAAGATAAGATGTCGCGCGGCCGCGAATGCTTCTGGGAGCTGGGTTTTATAGTCTCTGAGTCTTGGCCGTTACTAAGTGTAGGCAAACTTGGAGAGAGTAGAAAATGATCTGCGTATTTATGCATCTAACTTGGAAAATGTCAAGCTTTTGTTTTCTACCTTAAAGACCTTGCAGGGCCGGGGACTGACTCACTCTAGAAGGCTAACGTGTGTCTTCCTTGCTCCTAGCTTGTGACCGCTGGTCCGTGCTCCCCAGGCCTGGCCTCCATCAGGACGTCAACAGATTCGGCCACTCGGCAGTCTTGCACAACAGGTAACGGGGAGAGAGTTCATGCAGGGAGGAAGCGGGTAGCAGAAAGCCAGCTGGACTCCCGTAGTATTTGCAGGATTTTCTCTGCTCATTCATTTTTTTCCCACCGAATTACCCGCTTGAGAAGTTCCTGATTTGCATTGAAAAATACTCAATGCTTTGGGTTTGAACTACCGCGTGCTTATGATGGCTCTGCTGCCACAAAACGTGCATCATGGTTTTGGCGCCCACGAGGCTGTGCTTGGAGTTGTTTGAACACACAGGACAGCAAAAGTGAAAGGCAGTTTCTATCTTCGACCTTTTGCTGTTAACTCTTTGTCGTTAAGTGTGGTATTAGGATGGTCTGTCGCATTCCCTGATTTGTGTGTGGGTGGGAAGGAGAGGGTTGAAGAGAGGAGCGAAGGTCAGGTAGAGGAACCGAGGACGGAGCGTGACTCGTCTGTAGGTCCTGGGCATGCGCGTGCTGTCCCGTCTCTCAGAGACGCCCGAGCAAGCACTGTGGCCATGCGCAGCTGGACTCTGCCCTGGGTTCATTCCCCGACACCGCACACAGTCCCCCGAGCCCCGCCAGGGTTGATCCCTGAGTTCAGAACCAGGAGGCCACCCTGGGAACTTCCCAGTATGGCTCCAGAAAGAGCCAAAATGCATGGTCCAGAGCAGGGCTCTTTCCCAGTTGGGTTCAGGAGAAGGCTCTGTCCTCTGAGGAAGATCCATTTCTTTTTTTTTTTTCCTTTTTTTCCTCTTTTTTTTGGGTTACATCCGGCAATGCACAGGGGTTACTCCTGGCTCTGCGCTCAAGAATTACCCCTGGCGGTGCTCAGGGGACCATATGGGATGCTGGGAATCGAACCCGGGTTGGCAGCATGCAAGGCAAACAAACGCCCTACCCACTGTGCTATTGCTCCAGCCCGAAGATCCATTTCTTAACGAGTCATTTAAAGACTTGAAATGTGTTAATGCCTGTCTTATCTTTATTTTGCTTTTTTTTTCTTTCTTTTTTCTTGTTAAATTTATTTATTGAATCACCGCGAGAAAAGTTACAAAGCTTTCAGGTTTAAGTCTTGGCCATACAATGATCAAACACCCATCCCTTCACCAGTAATTATTTTTCACCACCAAGAAGCCCAACATACCCCCTCTCCTACCCCTCCCGATGCCTGTGAGGCATTATTATTTCGACAAAAGATGCACCATTATTTTGGTTTGGAATTTCCCCCAAAAAATCAGAACTGCTGAAAAGGCATTGTGAAATAATTTGTTTTCTATTGCTGATTATGATAACCATATGATGATTTTGGATTTCTGATATTTTACTAATTAAGTCTGGAGGGATTTCTACCAAAAGCCAGATAATTACGAGATTGGTTTGTGTGCCTCTGGTGCCATGGCCATGCCAGAGAGCCACTCGTGGGGGGCAACTCATGGGCTCGGTAAGGCGTATCGTGCTTCTTACTGTGGTCATCAGTAAATGTCTCTTTCACCTTTTGCAATTTGACTCAGGATGTGCATTCCTGGTCGAGGTAGAGTAGTGCCGGAAATCAAATCCAAGACTTTGACTGTGTGAGGCCCTGAGTTCAGTTTCTGGCACCACCAACTGTATTTATTTACTAATACAGTTGCAGGCCTCATCAGCTCCTTGAGTGATCTAATGCCTGCATTCTGTTGAGTTTCCCTGCACTGCCAGGGTGTGACCCCCTCCCCAACAGAACCCCAACCCCAGAACTCTCGGCTCCACACAGTGACTTCCTCTCTGCCCCTTCTGCCCCTGCTCCTGGCAGCCCTCACCAGCCTCTGTCTGTGTGGAGATGATTAGAGTAGTAAGTGCTGGGACTCAGCCCTTTACCCCGTGGGCCCCTTCCCACTTGGCTGTCTTCCAGCGTCTTCCTCGTTTAGTGCTGTGGTCTGCCACTTATGTAGTTTTCACTTGTGGGTCCCTTGGAATATTCTGGCTGCTTCCAGTCGAGAAACGCTGCCATAGGCACCTCCAGTAAGTGAAGTTAAACAGGATTTGTTCTCTTGTGACTGACTTACTTCACTTAGCATAGTATCTTCAAGATGCGTTCATTCGTATTGATTTTTTCTGCCCTCTCAAGGCTGAGTGATATTCCATGGTGTGTGCGCACACGTGTGCAGACACACATAGCCACATTCACACGTAGCACGCCCTCCTTATCTGTTCATCTACTGATGGATGATTCTGTTGCTTCTGCCTTTTGGCCAAAGCCGCCAATACTGCAATGCACATGTCTGTCCAAATTCAGAGCCTGCAGCCTGTCAGTGAAGGAAACTAAGAAGTATAGAGCTCAGGGGCCAGACCATAGTACAGCAGGTAGGCGCTAACCTTGCACATGGCTGACTTGGGTTCTGTGTCTGGCATCCCATACAGTCCCCTGAACATCACTGGCTGTTCCCCCACCTCCCATCCCCATAAACAAAATATAAAGATCTTACAAGCACTAAGGGTATGTATACTGGTAAGACACTCAGGGATGAATGTGGCTCAGAGATAAGTTGAGTTTCTTTAGCTTGTAGGTTAAGTTCAGCTGAGGGAGCTGAGGCAGTTCACTGTTGGTCCTTGTTATTTTTTCAATATATGCTCTGTTTTTTTTATATGTGCTCTGTTTTGTAAATATGTACTCTATGTATTTTTATCTATGTTCTGTATGCTGAGAGCAAACTCCTCATTAGAGAATACTGCATTGCTCCCATTGGGAACACAGGATTAGGGTTCTGTGAAAGTCTCTGTATCACAGCATTTTCTCCAACCAATCGATCCATGATCTTCCTTATGTGTATTTCTCTTTAAAGACACCTTCTTTAATGTAGATTGTTGAGTCATTGTTATTGAACTGGTCGCAAACAGCACTATTACTCATGCAGTGTCTCTGTAAAGCATAATTTTCACAGAATTTTTTAAAAATTAATTTTTTTTTGTTTGGGGGCCATACCCACTAGTGCTCATGGTTTATGTCTGACTCCACACTCAGGAATCACTCCTGGCTTAGGACCATGTGGGATGCCGGGCATGGAGCCGAGGTTGCTCGGTCCGCTATACTATCTCCTGCCTCCAGGCATCTCATAGATTCCTGTGCTCAGAACATTGGAAAGCTCTTTAGCGCTATTCTTGGGGACAATATTAAGCAATTGAATCACCAACACGGTTTTCCTTTTCTTACAACACAATTCTTAAAACATTTCTTTATACAAAACATTTCTTGAATATCAATTATATGCAGATTTAAAATATATAATGATATTGTTACCTTATTTTAAACAATGATTTTCTAGATTTTAAATCATGTGGATTTTTCTTCCAGTACTTGTGTGGGTTCACCCTGCCAGGTGTTTCTCTAATTTAGTGTTTATCCTGATGAAGAGGGTGAAAAATTAGTTTAGTCTTACTTTTATTTTGTTCAGTTCTACTTACTGAAAAGTCCTTTTTCTCTCCCTGCTAAATAGGATGCCATTTTTACTGTGTACTTAATTTTTATATACCATTTCGGTTTTTTTTTTCAGTATCAGGTTTTTCCAGGTATAGTTTTATCTACTTATCATCTACGTATTTATTACATTGACGCTTGGGTTGATTTTTTGGGAGTTTTTTTGGTGGGGAGGTTGGGGTCACACCTGGCAGTGCTCAGGGATCACTCCTGATGGTGTTCAGTGTCAACCTAGAGTTGACCAAGTGCCAGTCAAGTGCCTTAACTTCCCCCATCTGACTCCTCATTTCAGTTTGAATTATAGAGACTTTATTCTGCTTTTGAAATCTTTTTAATTAAAAAAAAACATGTAGATATAGAATTGATTTGTGAAAGAATAACTAGTCAATTCATTTTTTGGTTTTGTTTTGTTTCTGGGTCACACCCGGCGGTGCTCAGAACTTACTCCTGGCTTTTTGCTGAGACATCAGTCCTTACGGACTTGTGAGACCGTGTGGGATGCCAGAGATGGGACCCCGGTCAGCCCTATGGCAAGCACCTTACCTGCTGTGCTTACTCCGACCCCTCATTTTAAAAGATGTTACTTACCCACGTGCTAAAATAGTTCAGGGTATCATGGTTAAAAGTCACTCATTTATCATGAGACTTTTCCTTTTGTTTTTGTTTTGTTTGTTATGGGGCTGTACCTGGAGGTGTCTTAGAGGTCCAAGTGGTGCCGGGGATCGAACCTGGGCCTCCCACATGCTAAGCATGTGCCCCAGTCTGTTGAATCATCTCCCTAGGTCCCAGGAGGACTTTTTGATACATAAAGGAAAATGTAAGTGGATTATTTGGAATATAATCGGAATGACTTGTGAGACCTGGAATTGATTTCTTTTGATCTGTAAGGTCTGTCTGAGATTGTGAGAAGTATTAGTGCACATTTGTTGTTTTCAAAAACCTCCTTCACAAATACCCCCAATCCCTTTTTTTCCCTTTCAGCACCATGTATGTGTTTGGGGGTTTCAACAGTCTCCTGCTCAGTGACATCCTGGTCTTCACCTCGGAGCGCTGTGAGGCTCACCGGAACGAGGCTGCCTGCTTGGCCGCGGGCCCCGGCATACGCTGCGTGTGGGACCCGACTCTGACTCAGTGCATCTCCTGGGAGCTGGCAAATGACGAGCAACAGGAGAAGTTGAAATCAGAGTGTTTATCCAAAAGACGTACGTTTCTCCCCCCTCCCCCGCTCGATCTTGCCACTTTTTAAAGTTCAATGAAGTCTATTTATTTGAATTCTGAAGATACTTTTAGAGCATCTGTCACTTTTTCATGAATATTTGTTTTATTAGACAATATTAGTAGTAACTTGAACGCATAATGGGTGTTTGAGAACTGGTTTGCAGACAACTTTGGGCGCCCACCACGTGACCCTTCGATGCCGTCTGGATGATGGAGATGGTCCCTCCCTGGCACTGCACAGACTTCATATGCTAACTCCAAAACCTGGAGGCAGCTGGTCTGGGGCTGTGACTCCAGTGGGACTTACTATGGTTCTAGAAACATTTTGTATCTGCACGGTCCTCGTATGGTTATTTGTGGCATGTGGGTGTCAGAACTCTTGAAATGAGGCCAAATGAGACTGGCACGACTAAATAACTCAGTTTTAATTTTTACTTTAGTGACCATGGGGAGAGCTCAAACAAAAGGTTGGTGCACACGTGAGACAGACTGGTGTGACCCCTGCTCAGCAGAGCTCCCTGAGTCCTGCGCGGCATGAGTGCCTCTCAGCACAGATGGGCCCCCGCACTTGAACACCAGGTCTGGCACTGCCAGGCAGAGTATCACAGGGAGTGGCCCCCAGACTCCCGAGCACTGTTGGGAGTAGATACAAGCAAAAGCGCAATGTCGGGGCCAGACAGATGACATAGGGGGTCAGGTGCTTTCCTTGCATATAACTGACCAGGTCCAGCCCCTGGTACTGCGTATGGTTCCCCAAGCAGCCCCAGGAGTGATTTCTGAACACCACCAGGTGTGGTCCCCGAACAAACAAACTAACAAACTAAGTGTAATTACCAGGTTGGACCGCACAGGTCTAACGGTAAGGATGAGACTAAGTCTCAGCCTTGAAAAGCTGGGCTAGAGTAGATCGTTCCAGCCATGGGAGGTAGAGTTTGGGTCTTTGAGAAGTCTTCCAGTTAGCTTTTCTACCTGGACGCGGAAGCAAGAGCAAGATAATTGCTGAGGATGACTAGTGAGCCGTTCTCCTGGAATAGCCCCACCTTGACCTATAGACATGGGGAGAAACAGCATCTGTGAAATACTTGCCTGTTTCTCATCAAGAACAGGGACTGCATTTCCTGGCAGAGTGGTCTGGGGTAGGGGCTGCAGTTCCCATGCGAGTCACGGGGCGGGCACCAGAAGCCGCCTTCCCTGCACTGAACCCGAATCCTCGGTTAGAGCGCTTGCAGGGGGCCTCCTGGGGCCTGGGCGGGCCGGTGGGTGTGGGGCACTGCCATGACCGGCACCGGAGAGAGTATTAGTCACGGTCTCCTCAAGCGGGTAAAAATCAGCAAAACTGCGTGTTCCAGGAAACAATTCTGAATCACCTTATTTTGGTTCTGTCTGAGTCCATTTGCTGTGAACGCGTAACAGCTATGGGCTTCCGGTTCAGCTCACTTCCTCAGGGGTCCCAGTCTCTGGGGTGCTGACTAGGGTGAGGAGAGCAGCCTGAGGAGCAGGCACGGGGGTCTCTGTGAGGATTACCCACCGCTGACCCCATCCACAGAGCATGTGGCATGCCACAGGGCCAATGGGCCAGCAGGTCCAAGGCGGTGTTGGTTGTGGGGCGGCTCCTTGGTGGCTGCCGTTGAGCTGTGGGGGTGGTGAGCTGTCCGGCCGTCTCTCACACCTTGAGCTTTTCAGACTTGCACTCTGAGGCTTCTAGATCATGGAGGCACAATGCCCGCCCACTCCAGGGTTCAGAGGCACGGCCCCCTCCTCTGCCCAGGTGAGCCTGGCACCCACAGCTAGGAGAGGTCACTGGCGCACCCCTTCCCCTCCCCCCCCCCCCCCCCCCCCCCCACACACACTACTGTCTGGCCACCCTGGAGTTCCTGCAGCTCATTCTATTGCTGTTTGGTAGATTTCTTGGCAAGAAAAACATCCAGAGAACTAGCCCTGTTCCCGTGATCACTCACATCCATTGTGTTAAATGAAGCCTTCTTGCTGTTCACGTCTCATGTGCTTTGTGGCCCAGTTTTATTGAGAAATCAAATCCATTACTGTGTCAGCTTAAGGCCCACAGCATGAAAGTGTGTCTGTGTACTTTTTTTTGTGGGGGGGTACAAAAAGTTTGTCTTCAGTTTTGTCTACATACTTATGTGCCAAGGGCTTTTTGGTTTGGTTTGGATTTGGGACCATACCCAACTGTGCTCAGGGCTTACGCCTGGCTCTGTACTTAGGGATCACTCCTGGTGGTGATCTGGGAACCATATGGGATGCCAGGGATTGAACCCCGGTTGGCCACGTGCAAGGCAATTGCCCAGCCTGCTGTGTTCTCTCTCCATTCCCTTGGCTACTTATTTCTGAGTGCCATCTTCATCTGTTCTCTGCAGCCTCACTCCCATGTTTTATTTCCCAGCTGTGCTTACTTTCTGAACCCCTTAAACCCATCTCTGGTCACCACAACAGCCTGTGGCTCTCCAGAGAAGTTGTCACAGCTGATGAGTTTTTCTTCTCCTCGTAGCCCTTGACCATGACAGATGTGACCAGCACACGGATTGCTACAGCTGCACGGCCAACACGAATGATTGCCACTGGTGCCCGGACCACTGCATCCCCCTGAACCACAGCTGCGCGGAGAACCAGGTCAGGAGCTGTCTCTCAAGGGGCCCAGGTGTTCCTGATTGTACGGCAGGGGTGTGCGCAGCCAGAGTTCTTTCAGGGTTGGGCTTTAGAATTTCCCAGATTTTCTCTTAAGAAGGGGCTGTGCTGCTTGCCCTAGTTCCGGGGGTCCTGCAGCCACAGGGCTCGGGTGTGGTGGTATAGAAGAATCTGAGCACTCGGGCCCTGCTGTGACTCTGTCGTGGTCGACTCCTCTGCCCATGCCCGCCATGGAGGGCAAGTTAAGACTTGAAATGTGGCGGGAGTCCACTGTGTGGCGGCCGTATGAACAGTGGCCGTCACAGGCTTCGCAGAATTCCTTGCCTTCTGTCTTTGCTCAGTAAAATGAATTGCTGGCCGTTCATGGTGTCTTTTACAATCCGTGACGGAAGGGAAAGGTCAGGTGGCCACGCTTTGATGGTCTCGCTCGGTTGCTGCAGCACCCTTTGTGGGAGGTGATGGAGTCCATGCCTCGCCGCTGTCCCCTTGTTTGCGACACCGTTTGAAAAGCAGCAGATTCAACCCCACATTTTATCAATGAGCAGATTGAAACCTGGTGGGTTTTTGGCCTGTTTAGTTTTTTATTTGTTTGTTTGTTTCGAGGCCATATCCAGTGCTGTTCCCAGCTCTGCGTGGGCGTCACTCCCAGCTGTTCTGGGGGGAAGGGAGTGGGGGCTATAGTGCTAGGGGTTGAACTGAGGCCACCACATGCAGAAGAACCTTAACTCCTGTTCTCTCCCCCCGCCCGGAAGCCTGGTTTCCCTTTCCTGCTGGTGCAGGCTCGTCCAGAGCTCTTCACTGTTCTGCTCGTGCCGTGCTGTCACTTGATCACTTGAGCGTCATCTAGCACGTTTATCTTTTTGCGGTGTGCTTCTTCACAGTTCACTTTTGTTGTTTTTGGGAATCCCATTGTCCTCACTATGAGGTCTCTTCATTGGATCTTAAGAGAAAGGCTTTTTTTTCTTTTGGGTCCACTGTGTTCTAGATCTCCATTGCCAAGTATGAGAATTGTCCCAAGGATAACCCCATGTATTACTGTAACAAGAAGACCAGCTGCAGGAGCTGTGCCCTGGACCAGAACTGTCAGTGGGAGCCTCGGAATCAGGAGTGCATCGCCTTGCCTGGTAGGCCTTGCAGGGGCACCCTGGGATGTGGGGGTCCAAAGACAACCGCCCTCTCCTCATCTCACCACCCCTCCCCCGCCATTGTGCTGCCTAGTTTGTTTTGTTTTCTGCTTTTTTTATTTTGGGGGCCAGACCCAGCAATGCTCAGGGATTGCTCCTGGCCCTGCACTCAGGGATCACTCCTGGTGGTGCTTGGAGGGACCAAACAGGATGTCAGGGAATTGAACCCAGGTCAGCCACATGCAAAGCAAGTACCGTACCTGCTCTGACCCCAGTTGCTGCCTCAGTGAGCTTAGCAGAAGAGATGAGCTCAATTTTTCCCCATTCCTCCATTCTTCTGCTTCGGTTGTGATATTGTCAAACCGAACTAGACTTCAGTCTCCATCCCCTCTGGCCTTCAAAAGTAAATGGAAGTGTCATCCTCCACTGTTCTGGAGAAGTGGTGACAGCTTGGCTCTGACATCAAGCATGCTTCAGCATTACTACACACACACACACACACACACATGCTGTGCCAGCTGCGTCTCAAAAGCAGTCCTGTCACAACTTCTGGGTCTTCTGGGTACTCATGCAGAGTGGAGGTGACAGCCGGGGCTGGGTAGTCAGTAGCACCTTCCGGCAAGGATGGGAGCAGCACCTCTCTCCGCAGCCCCAGTAGGCCCCAGTGTCTGGCATGCTTGAGGTTTGGGGTGATCAGTTGGGGCCCTGAGACCCACCGCCACGACCCAAACTGAGATGCGTCTCTGTGCTATGTAGCCCAACTCTCGAGGATTTCGCTCAGAGGCAGACTCAGGTTCAGAGCTGGGGTCGTGCCCCCTGCCTGTGTTTTAAGAAGCAATAATGCGGGCATCACGTTTTCAGGAGCATGGCCTCGGTTGCTTACCAATAATTCCTTCCCCACGGGGTGCCTGCCTTGCTCTTGCCCACTGTGAGTCGCTGTGGATCATATTCCCAGCATGAGGGAAGCCGCCTCCCTGAATCACGTTCCGGAAAGAAATCTTTTCACATCTTTTTTGAGCTGTTTCCTCTGCTTGCTTCTTGCCGTCCCCCCTGACGTGAAAACAGCACCGTCTTGGCCCCTTTGTTCACTTGCCCACTCCTTTCCATCCTCCTTTTCTGCCGTGCCCTCTGGCACATGTTTGCATTGTTCTGCTCTGGTCATGTATTGTGCTTATCTGCGTGTCCCAATACATGTCTTTAGGTGTTTTTTTTTTTTTTCCTGATCCAGGAAATGGGACTGGTGAACATTTTTTAAATTCTGACATGGTGTATTTGCTGCTTTGTGATGTTTCTTGTGCCCTCATTCATCACCTCCTGCCATTCAGAGCACAGAATAGGCTTCCAGTAGTTCCCACTGGTAATAGCGCCCTTTGTGTGATTTCTAAAACTGTTTTTTTCCCTCCCTCTACCAAAGAAAATATCTGCGGCATTGGATGGCATTTGGTCGGAAACTCATGCCTGAAGATCACGACGGCCAAAGAGAACTACGACAACGCTAAGCTGTCCTGCCGGAGCCACAATGCCTTCCTGGCCTCCCTCACCACCCAGAAGAAGGTCGAGTTTGTCCTGAAGCAGCTGCGGGTAATGCAATCCTCGCAGAGCTTGGTGAGTTGGAGAATCTTTGAGGCTCAGTTCCTGACACATGCCTTGCTCCTGAGGGCCCAAGTCCAGCTGCCTGTGATGTGCTCGCAGGAGGGCGCTGGCACGCACAGAGAAGGGGCTGTGAAGCACACTGGCAGGTTCTCTGCCTCTAGCACTGCTGATTTTGGTCTGAAAACCTGTAATATTTTGGGCCAGAGAGTACAGGGGTTCAGGCACTTGCCTTACATGTTCCAACCCAGGTTCAATCCCCAGCACTGCAGATGGTTCCCCAAGCACCACCAGGAATAACCCCTGAGCACTGAGCCAGGAGTAAACCCTGAGCATTGCCAATTTGGCCCAAATTTCCCCCCAGCCCCCAACAAAAATAACAACAGAATTTTAATATTTTATTTTTATTAATCATATCTGTCCCCTCTCGGAGAGCCTGGCAAGCTACCGAGAGTATCTCGCCCACATGGCAAAGCCTGGCAAGCTACCCATGACGAAGTCGGTACGCCAAATACAGTAACAACAAATGTCACAATGGAGACATTACTAGTGCCCGCTCGAGCAAATCGATGAACAAAGGGAGGACAGTGCAGTGCTACAGTCATATCTGTTAATTCCTTAGACATGAATAATTGCATGTATATGAACAGTAAAACATCTATTTACATACGCATATCCTGTGGCCATAGCGGGTGCTGGGCACCCTGTCACTGCTGGGTTGGGTTAGTCCCCTGAGTCTGTCGGGCATTGTCACTGCATGTAATGGGTTTCAGTAGGTGTCTGTCTCTGGGCCTGGCCATGCCAGTGGGGAGGACACTGTGTTGGGAGGTTTTGAGATCCCAGCTCCCAGGTTTTCTCCCTGTCTGTACCCTGATGCTCACAGGAATCAGGATTCAGACACGAGAAGCCCCTCCCCCAGCCCCCAAGGGGATACGCACATCACTACCCGGAAAGTGCTGATATCTGTAAGAGCTGTTTCTATTCAAGCTGCCTCAGAGGAATAATTTGACAGATTGATTCCCCCCCCCCCCCAGGACGTATTTCTGCCTCTCAAAAATCCTTACCCTGCAAAACAATGTTTTTAATGTCGAGAACACAAGCCGTGCATCTGTCCCGCATGAATGCTGGCACCTTAGCTGCCAGGGTGGATGAGTGCCGACAGCTTGCCTCACCTAGACTCACCAGCCCCCATTGCAGGCCTTACTCTTGATATAAGAGTAGGCTTCCGGCAGATCGGATCCTGGGTTGGGCGACGTGAACAGATGTGTCAGCCACATCATAGCGTTGTCAGAGACCATGAGATTCTCTGGCAGTTCGCATTTTTATTTGTGTTTTAAAAAATTCATTCATTCTTTTGGGGGGGGGTGGGTTTGGGCCACTCCCAGCGATGCTCGGGAGCTACTCCTAGCTCTGCATTCAGGAATTCTCTCCTGGCAGTGTTTCAGGGGACTATATGGGAAGCTGGGGAGCGACCCTGGGTCAGCTGTGTGCATGGCAGGTGCCCTGTACCCACTGTGCTCTATTGCTCTGGCCCCAAGACTTGGTCCTTGCTGTGATGCTAACTACTGTGTGACTTCTGATGGCTCCTATCCTCGGGGATCTGTTTTTCCTTTGTTGATGCCCTTCCTGGAGCCCAGGCTTAGGGTCTGCTGCAGAAGAGATCTTGCCCTCTCTGCCTGGGGGTCGGGGTGGGGGGTGGGGGCCTGTGTGCTCTCTAACCCAGACGCCTGATTTGGTGGAGAGACTGCAGCGGTTCTGAGCTGTGTCTTGTCTGTCTGTAGTCCAAGCTCACCCTGACCCCGTGGGTTGGCCTCCGGAAGATCAATGTGTCCTACTGGTGCTGGGAGGACATGTCCCCCTTCACGAACAGCCTGCTGCAGTGGATGCCGTCGGAGCCCAGCGATGCGGGCTTCTGTGGAATCCTGTCGGAGCCCAGCGTGCGGGGCTTGAAGGCGGCCACATGCATCAACCCCCTCAACGGCAGTGTCTGCGAAAGGCCTGGTGAGGGCAGGGCGGGGGCGTTGGGGAGGGGGCGGTAACTGAAAGACTCTCGGGGGTGGGTGTGCCCCCCCATCCACTGCGGAGATGTGCGAGATGCTCGTGAAAAACCGATGCAGTATGGATTTCAAGTGTAGAAGGCAGAGGATGAGCCAGGATTTTAAAAGAAACAGAAGGAAATCGTCTTTGAGAAAACTGCTCAGTGGAAGCAGAGCCAAAGACTAACTCTAGTAGCAGTGAGGCGGCTTCGTGTACTACAGAAAGGCTTGAGAATTGTTTTTAATGGTAAATGGTAGAAGAAGGAACCCAAAAAGATGCAAAAAAAAAAAAAAAAAAGCAAATAGCTTCCCTTACCTCCCCTCCCCCAGGATTAGAACTGTGCGCAGGACCCCAGGGTCTGGGGAACAGGCTTGGCGCAGGGGAACCCCAGGTGTGATCTGTGGCTCCACGCGTTCCTCTGAGCACCGAGCCGGGGGCAGCCCTGAGAAAAATAGAAAGGCAAGCAGGCCAGTTTAGGAACAGTGGACAGAAAGAGGGTATATCATTGGAAGAAAAAGGGAGAGGGCTCAGAGGGTTTGGAGCGTGTCCTGCATGCAGAGGCCCTGTGTTCAGTCTCTGGCGCATGGTCTGCTCCCCTGGGCACCGCCTGCACACGGCCCTGGTGGCCCCCGGCACAGCCGGACCCCATGCATCTAATGTCATACCATAGCCATCATACCTAACCAAGTATTGTCCAAAAGGACTCTGGGCTCCCAAACACTCTGTGTGTGTGTGTGTGTGTGTGTGTGTGTGTGTCTGTCTGTCTGTCTCTGTCTGTGTGTGTCTGCATGCATGTGTGTCCCATCCCTAACAAAAGCGAGTTAGAGATGCAGCTGGGCTGCAGGAGGACATTCAAGGAGCTGTTCCCTTGTCCCCGTACTGTCCTGGCTTAGCCACTGGAGGCTTCATTAAAGCAGGTCAGCAACACATGGGAAAGCCCAGACCAGCATCTGCATCCTCCAAGCATCCAGCTCGTCATCGTTTTGTTTTTTAAAAAAGACTGTGTTCACTGGGGATGCCGGGCTGCACTGACATTAGGTCTTATTCCAAGAAGTTGCTCCGACTCGAGGTATACAGAGAACAGTACAGGGAGAAGTCACAGCGCTCTCCGAACCCCCTTAAAATGTGATTCTGAATTTTTTACCTGGGGGGGGTGGGGTGGGAATCCTGAGCACATTAGAGAATTTTTTTTCTTTTTTTTTTCCCTTTATTGTATTTTATTTTTTTTTAAAGTTGTAGATTTACAATTTTTTGTGCTTTGGTTTCAATTATACAATGATCAGATACCCATCCCTCCACCAGTGCCCATTTTCCACCACCATGGATAATATCCCTCCCACCCCCATCCCCCCATCCCCCCTGTCTCTGTGGCAGGGCAATCCCCTGTGTTCTCTCTCTCCTTTTGGGTGTTGTGGTCTGCAAAAGAGGCATTGAGTGGCAAACATGTTCAGTCCATAGTCTACTTTCGACATGCATCTCCCCTCCTGGGAGGATCCTCCAAACATCCTTTATTTGGTGCTCCCTTCTCTATCTGAACTGCCCTTTCCTCTAGGATACCCGGCTGGCCTCTAAGTTATGGAGTAATCCTCCTGGTGCTGATCTCAGCTATTCTTGGGTATTAATCTCTTACTTTGTTACTTTATATCCCCCAGATGAATGCAATCTTTCTATGTCTATCCCTCTCTTTCTGACTCATTTCGCTTAGCATGATACTTTCCATATTGTACCACTTGTATGTAAATTTCATGACTTCATCTTTTCTAAGAGCTACATAGTACTCCATTGTGTAGATGTACCAAAGTTTCTTTAACCAGTCATCTGTTCTTGGGCACTCAGGTTTCTTCCAGTTTCTGGCTATTGTAAAGAGTGCTGCAATGAACAAACAAGTACAGATGTCACTTCGACTATACATTTTTGCCTCTCTGGGATATATTCCCAGGAGTGGTATTGCTGGGTCAAATGGGAGCTCAATTTCTAATTTTTTGAGAATCGTCCATACTGTTTTCCAGAAGGGCTGAACCAGTGGACATTCCCACCAACAGTGAAGGAGTGTCCCTTTCTCGCCACATCCACGCCAGCATCGGTTGCTTTTGTTCTTTTGAATGTGGGCTAGTCTCTGAGGTGTGAGATGGTATCTCATTGTGGTTTTGATCTGCATCTCCCTGATGATTAATGATGTAGAGCATTTTCTCATGTGCTTTTTTGCCATTCGGATTTCTTCTTTGAGAAAGTTTCTGTTCATTTCATTGCCCCATTTTTGGATGGGGTTGGATGTTTTCTTCTTGTGGAGTTTAACCAGTATTTTGTATATCCTGGATATCAACCCCTTGTCAGATGTGTATTCGGCGAATATCCTTTCCCATTCTGTAGACTGTCTTTGTATTTTGGTCACTGTTTCTTTGGAGGTGCAGAAGCTTCTTAGTTTAAGATAGTCCCATTTACCTATCTCTGTTTTCACTTGCTCGGCCAGTGGCGTGGCATCTTTGAAGATACCATTAGCTTCAATGTCATGGAGGGTTTTGCCAACTTTATCTTCAATGTACCTTATGGTTTCTGGTCTGATGTTGAGGTCTTTAATCCATTTTGATCTTACTTTTGTACATGGTGTTAGGCAGAGTTCTGAGCCTATTTTTTGGCATGTAGCCGTCCAGTGATGCCAACACAATTTATTAAAGAGGCTTTCCTTACTCCACTTCACATTACTTGCACCTTTATCAAAGATTAGATGAGCATATGATTGAGGAGAGATGTCAGTGTATTCAACCCTGTTCCATTGGTCTGCAGTTCTGCCTTTGTTCCAGTACCATGCTGTTTTAATTATTACTGCTTTGTAGTACAGTTTGAAGTTCGGGAGGTTGATTCCTCCCATTTTCTTTTTCCCAAGAATTGATTTAGCTATTCGTGGGGGCTTATTGTTCCATATAAATTTCAGGAGTGTTTGCTCCATTTCTTTGAAGAATGTCATGGGTATCCTTATAGGGATTGCATTGAATTTATACAATGCTTTTGGTAGTATTGCCATTTTGACAATGTTAAGTCTCCCGACCCATGAGCAGGGGATATCTTTCCATTTCCTCATGTCCTCTTTTATTTCCTGAAGTAGCGTTTTGTAGTTTTCTTTGTACAGGTCCTTTACTTCCTTAGTTAAGCTGATTCCTAGGTACTTGATTTTCTGGGGCACAATTGTGAATGGGATTGTTTTTTTCATGTTGCTTTCTTCTCTCTCACTGTTTGCGTATAGGAAAGCCATGGACTTTTGGGTATTGATTTTATAACCTGCAACTTTACTATACGAGTCTATTGTTTCTAGGAGTTTTTTGGTGGAAGTTATTGGGTTCTCTAAGTAGAGTATCATATCATCTGCGAATAGTGAGAGCTTGATTTCTTCCTTTCCTACCTGAATGCCCTTAATATCTTTTTCCTGCCTAATCGCTATTGCAAGTACTTCCAGTACTATATTGAACAGCAGTGGAGAGCACATTAGAGAATTTCATGAGCTCTCCACTCCTTCCTCCTGAAAAACACATGGTTTTGCACATTCAGGTCATCTTTACAGTCCCAGAGGTTAATCCTGGGCCCCTGTATTCTAAGGAGCTTCTGGACATCTGCTCTTGGGGAGTTACCAGCTTGTTCACCCGTCTCCTTAATACACTCTGGGGTGGGGGGGGAGTGTCCTGTGTGTTCCCCCTGCCCTCCCTCCAGTGCAAGTGTGCTGTCACAGAGTCTCCGGTTGATTCTCCTCTGTTCAGTGTCGCCGAGTGGGTTTCCTGCTTCAGGGCCCAGTCACAGACCCTGCAGCAACCCATGGGCACCCTGCGCCCGTGTGGGGGGTGTGGCGTTGGGGGCACTGATGCATGCGCGGTTCTCCTCTGCAGCCAACCACAGCGCCAAGCAGTGCCGGACCCCGTGCGCCCTGCGGACGGCGTGTGGCGAGTGCACGAGCGGCAGCTCCGAGTGCATGTGGTGCAGCAACATGAAGCAGTGCGTGGACTCCAACGCCTACGTGGCCTCCTTCCCCTTCGGCCAGTGCATGGAGTGGTACACCATGAGCAGCTGCCCCCGTAAGTGCCACGTGGGTGCAGGGCGTGCAGGGGCACCAAGGGATGGGCAGTGACACTTTCCAAGGAGTAGCGCAATTGAACAGACCAGACTTGACTGTCAGCTGACATCTGTCTGGACACGGTTCTCTGAAATGGTGGTTAAATGGAGACAGGCCCAGTGACACAGAGAAGTGAATGTAAGCTAGAATCCCGGAGAGCCAAAGCTCACGTGCCCGGCCTCAGTATCACACCACTCAGGCGGGTAACGTCTCCCTGGGTTCATCCTCACTTATAAAATCTGTACTTGCATACCGCCGATCTAAGTTCAATCCCCGACATCCCATATGGTCCCCCAGGCATCTCCAGGAGTAATTCCTGAGTGCAGAGCCAGGAGTAACACCTGAGCAACATTGGTTGTGACCCAAAAAGAAAGGAAAAGAAAAAAAAAAAGATCTGTATTTTCTGCTGCCTCTTAAGAGTGGGAGGTTTACAGCGAAGAGTCTGTAATGTGTCATTAAAAGAATTTTGACTCCCAGGCATTGTCTATTAAAGAAAAAGATACTTTAAATGCAGCGAGTCCAGGGCCAGGGAGATGGGTCAATGGTTAGAGTGCATGCCTGATGTGCACAGGGCCCTGGGTTCAATCCTCAGCGCCTCAGGTTCTCCCACCACCTCCAGCTCTCACCCTGGTGGCCCCCAGCACTTCTGGGGAGGGCCTTCACCATCACCAATTAAAAAACCCTTAAAAATACTATGATTAAATGTACATGTAACCGTGAATTACAAACTGGGTTTGTTTTTTTTCCCCAGCTGAAAACTGTTCAGGCTATTACACCTGCAGTCATTGCTTGGAGCAGCCAGGCTGTGGCTGGTGCACGGACCCCAGCAACACAGGCAAAGGGAAGTGCATCGAAGGTTCCTCAAAAGGACCTGTGAAGATGCCCTCAAGAGCGCCGACAGGCAGCCACTACCCACAGCCCCTCCTCAACTCCAGCATGTGTCTGGAGGACGGCAGATACAACTGGTCTTTCATTCAGTGTCCAGGTACGATGCCTGGGGTCTCCGAAATCAAGTGTTTTTTCTACCAGTTTACAGAGAAGAAATATTTAAAAGTAATGTTGTAGATTTTCTTTCAGAGAGAGAAACTATAGTAACAAGGGCTGGAATGACAGCACGGCAGGTCAGGCGCTTGCTTTGCATGTGTCTCACCTGGGTTTGATTCCCAGCGCCCCATGTAGTCCATCCCGTGTACCAGAAGTGAACCCAGAGTACAGAGCCTGGAGAAAGCCCTGAGCATCGCCAGATGAGGTCCAAAAACTAAAAGAAAGGGGGGAAAAAATCTAGTGACATCATTTTAGGAGAATAAGTTTTATGTGAAAAATATTTTTACTGTCTGTAATGAAATTCTGAAACCATCTTGCCCTAAAATGCAGGCATCTCAACTCCTTTTTCTGTCAGATTGACTTTATCTGCAATAGAAGTTAAGGAATTTCTTGGTTCTTTTGGTAGCGCCTTTTCCTCTTCTCTCAGTTGCCTCTTGCTTGTTCTCCTTGTCCTGTATAGTCTCCACAGTTTCCATAGGATTTTAAAGGGAAAGAGAGAGACATTTTCAGGCATGCGTCAGGATGCAGGTGTTTTTTGGGACTAAGCTTTGCATGTCTGTCCTGATGAGTGTGATGCTTTGTCTGCTGCTCCCTCCTGGCTGTCTCCAAGGAACCGCGTTGCCTATCCCATGCACCTTCAGTAATTGGGCATAGCCAGTGTACAAGAGTCATTGCAGTTGCAGTGTAGATGTAGAACAGCTCAGATACTGGGCTGGGATGGGTCAACAGGTAGGTAAATGGAGTTGGTGTGGGATGAACAGTTGCCACGTCAGTGGAAAATAACAGCACCCAAGACAGATGTGCAGCCCACGAGGCTAAGAGGGAGAGCAGGCGCCTTGCCTGTGTGAAGCCCCAGCTTTGATCGCTGGCAGCACTCCAAGGAGAAGGCAGCTGTGGAGGACCCAGGGCCTGTCTGCAGGAGTCCAGCCTCTCACCAGGTCCCTGCGAACCCTGGAGGTTAGCCAGAGTCACCCCGTGTCTGCCGCCGTCCGGACAGTCTAGGCTATGTGTCGCTCTTGAGCTGTATGTGCCTTGATGCTTCTGGGCTCTCTTAGCCCACGCTGGGGAGTGTGGACAGATAAAGCTGGGGCTTTTTCTCATCATGAAAAATTAAAGCAAGCAAAGCACTGGAATGCATGGGAATGGTTTGATAGCTTACTTTCATGGAATCGTTCAGCCATGTGAAGTTTTGCTAGTGCAGCCTGGGGCTCATTCTTTGCATGGGGTGTATGGGTTGGGTCCCCAGGACCCAGCCTGCCTGGCGGTACAAGCACTGTCAGGAGGAATCCCCCACAACCCCCAACACCCATGTCAGATCTAGCCCCAGAGCAGCACATGCTTTTACATAAACATTTTCCAATGAAGTTGTGACTGGTGAAATAGTATACATAATTGCAGTTTAACGCTGCACTGTAGCACTGTCCATGGATTTGCTGGAGCAGGGCCCAGTAATGTCTCCATTGTGAGACTTCTTGTTACTGTGTTTGGCATATGGAATACATCACAGGTACCTTCCAGGCTTTGCCATGTGGACGAGATACTCTCGTAGCTTGCTGGGCTCTCCGAGAGGGGCAGATGAATTGAACCTGGGCCGACCAGGTCGGCAGAGTGCAAGGCAAACGCCCTACCCGCTGTGCTATTAGAATACTAATCTGAACACAACTGTGTCAATTGTAGAAAAATGCCAGTTCTGAGCAGTGATACCCAGTAAAATTGCGTATTGTTTTTCAAGTCTACATTCATGAGATGGTATTATTTTTATAACAACAGAAATTTTAAAATGGATATGGACTTTCATCTTGCTGTGATATATTTCTAATTTTCCTGAACTTGATTTTTTCCCCTGTGATTTTTGGCTTGGTTGTTACACCTGGCTGTGCTTAGGGTTTACTTCTGGCTCTGTGTTCCAGGATTGCTCCTGGCAGAGCTTAGAGGACCATATATGGTGTTGGGGATCAAACCCTGGCCAGCTTGTTCAACGGAAGCACCTTACCTGCTGTACTGTTTGACCCTCTCTTTTATTCTTTGATTTTATTTTCTACCTTTCAGACTGCTTTGTAGTTGACCAGTTTTGATATTTTTGTGCATAGAGGCAATAAGGACCTTAAACAGATCCTGGTGAATAAGACTTGGCCAACTTCCTCCGCCATCTCTCACAAGACTTTTTCTTTCAGCTTGTCAGTGCAATGGCCACAGCAAATGCATCAACCAGAGCATCTGTGAGAAGTGTGAAAACCTGACCACGGGCAAGCACTGTGAGACCTGCATCTCTGGCTTCTACGGGGACCCCACCAATGGAGGGAGGTGTCAGCGTAAGTCCATCCGTCCATCCGTCTCACTGACCGCATACTGGCCAGGCCACTCTCTCCTTTGGCCTGACTGTCCTTGGAGTTTATCAGAGGCCTTGTGGTTTTTAGACCCAGCGTTTCCTCAGTCATCCTTCTCTGGAGCTCAGCTGAGCCTGGAGAGTGTGGGCAGAGCTGCCAAGCGTCAGGGTAACGGGGGAAAGCAACAAGCCCCATGTGGGCAAAGTCTTCCGTCCCTCACTGCAGCGAGGGCAGGCGGGCTGACGCTGATGGGGTGCTCGCTTCTCTCCTTCCACTCTCCCTGGGAGGAGTCAGCCCAGACCCACTGGGGGTGGTGGGCTCCCTGATGAGGGGGATTGGAATGAGATACCCCCATCAAGAGCTTTTATGGACCTTGAGGTCTCAGGGAGTGTGGAAGGGAAGGGCTATAAGTGGAAAAATGCCAGCAACCAATCAGAGTGCACAGGGCTCAGCCATGACCTGGGTACCCAGCAATGAAAGACAGCCTCCAGGGTACCCCTGGGCATGAGGGAGAGGGTCCCCAGACATTGAGTATGACCTCCCCCAGGTGTCTCAGCTGTGTGAATGGTTGGTGGGGGATGGGGGAGCAGCTGGCCCTGTAAGTCTCCCCCCACCCCTGCAAATAAAAGGGCAGGTTTTATTAACATTAGGGTAACTGCTACTGAAACTTGGTTGTTGTGCAGTTGTTAAAACTTTGACTACAAAAAAAAAATGGGGCTGGAGCGATAGCACAGTGAGTAAGGCATTTGCCTTGCACGCAGCCAACATGGCCGACACAGGTTCGATTCCCAGCACCCCATATGGTCCCCCGAGCACCGCCAGGAGCAATTCCTGAGTGCATGAGCCAGGAGTAACCCCTGAGCATCGCCGGGTGTGACCCAAAAAACAAAAAAATAAATTAAATAAAATAAAAATAAATAAAACTTTGACTACAAGCCACCAGGTATATGATGATTTTGTTTTCTGATCTTAGGTGTAAGTGATCACTTTCATGCAAACTAGTGTTTTGTTCTTTTCTTTTCTGTCCCCATTCACCTCCATGAATGTTAAGGGACCTCTGTCAGTGCATTGCTCCGTTCAAGGTGCTAAGTCATGCAAATAGAATCAAAGTAGCTATCAGATATATGTGGGAACATGAGATACTCATACATGCCCTCGGTTTCATCAAATCCTGTTTTTCTCTCTGGAGTCACATTTGGAGTCACAAACTGAGATAGTGGTAGCTTGACAGAAAGGAAGGAAGTGCGTAATTGGAGCATCACTCTTGCTGGGCATGTCGCTTTAAGTGCCACATGTCAGGCCCTGCTCTGACCGAAGCAGCATTTCCCGCCCAGGCTAGCATCTGTGCTATAGCGATGTGTTTTCACAGATTGTTAGTACTCTCCACTGAAGGCATTAGGGAAAAAGGTGGCCTTAAAATATGCAGTCAGGGCTGGAGCAACAATGCAGCCAATAGGGAGCTTGGCTTGCACACATTCAACCTGGGTTCAATTCCTGGCACCCCATATGGTCCCCTGAGTACTGCCAGGAGTGATCCCTGATCTCGGGCGCAGGAGGAAGCTCTGAGCACCGCCCAGTGTGACCCAAAAACAAAAACAGGAAAAGTGCTGTGGTAGCTCGAAGAGGGAGAGGACCAGAGTTGTTTCCGCCTAGGCTGAGGCTGTCGGGCGAGGAGTCCGGAGTGGCTTCGTGCCCAGGGACTTCCACCAAAGTGGTCCCGGGCATGGAGAAAGTGCTGCAGCCAAGGAGACCTGTGTGCATCCAGGCCACCCTCCTCCGGGGCAGGCAGGACTCAGGTGTCTCCAGGGGCCAGGGCCACCTGTGCCCATCCCCGACCAGTGCCTGGCGCAGTAAGGATGCTTCAGAAGCGTTCATGACTGAGCGGGAGATGTGGAAGTGTGGGAGAGTCCTCTGGGAAGCTCGGAATCGTGGTTGTTCCCGATTGTTCATTGCAGTGGGACCGGGCGATGGGACATTGGGTAGGACACTTGCCTTGCATGCTGTGATTCTGGTTTGATCCCAATATGGTCCCCTGCGCACGGCCAGGCGTTAATTCCCGAGGACAGGGCCAAAAGTTAGCCCTGAACCTCACCAGGTGTGACCCAAAAACAAACCAAAAAAAAAAGTCGACTCTGACCCATTTAAGATTTTCCCTTCTATTCATGCTTCCTGTCAGTTCCAACTCAGCCACTGTCACTCTTTTATTTATTTATTGTTTTGGTGGGGATTGGGGAGTGGGTTTGGTTTTTGGGTCACATCCGGTGATGCTCAGCGGTTACGCCTGGCTCTGTACCAAGAATCAGTCCTGGCGATGCTCTGGGGACCGTATGGGATCCTGGCAACTCAAACCAGTGACCCTGTGCAAGGCAAGCGCCCTTTAGGCTGTGCTGTCTCTCCGGCTCTGGCCGTCACTCATTCTGAGGAAAGACCAGTGGTGCCCTGCAAGCCCCGTGACCGTCTCTCCTCTCCCCTCCAGCGTGCAGGTGCAACGGGCATGCCTCGCTGTGCAACACCAACTCGGGCAAGTGCTTTTGCACCACCAAAGGCGTCAAGGGCGACGAGTGCCAGCTGTGAGTACCACCCCTGGGGGCTCTGGGCAGGCCGTGGCAACTGCCATCTGGGTGGACTGCTGGGTGCCCCTGGGGAGAGCCACCTTCCGCCCCAGACCTTGTGGCCTGGGGCTCTCAGCATTGCCCAGGTCAAGGCAGCTGAGCCCCTGCTCTTCCTGCTTCAACAATTCCAGCTGCCCTTGGTGGCACCTGAGCCCCACCCCATCATGTCTGGGCCACCCTGACCTGCCGAGGCTGCTGACCTCGATTTTTCTGGTAACTTCAACCTTGGGTTGATTTTCACCATGCTGGAAAAAAAAATAAATTCCCCCCCAAAAGCAGCTGTTGTGAGAGATGGTCTTAAGGACCTGGTTGTATTTCGCATTTTGGTTGCCTGCGACCTTGGATGCAACCCTTCCTGTTCTAGCATATTCTTTCAAACAGTGTGTCCAGTGCCAGGGAAGAGTTGGGAACACAGAAAGAGTGGTGTTGGAACCGGGTATAAAAGCTATCAGATATGATACAGCCTCGGTCAGTTGCCACTGTCACTGTCACTGTCCTCCTGTTGTTCATCAATTTGCTCGAGTGGGCCCAGTAACATTATGAGACTTGTTGTTACTGTGTTTGGCATATTGAATACGTTACAGGTAGCTTGCCAGGCTTTGCCGTGTGGGTGAGATACTCTTGGTAGCTTGCCAGGCTCTCCGAGAGGGGCGGAGGAATTAAACTCGGGTCAGCCCAATCAGCCATGTGCAAGGCAAACGCCCTACCTGCTGTGCTATCGCTCCAGCCCCGGTCAGTTGTATGTTTCTTAAAAAATCCTAGTAGTCATATCCCAAGTGGGTGTCCAGAGGGGAGCTTCTGTGTCTCTGTGTGTACCACATTTTGCACCAGTGTAAACATTCATTGGTTTCATGCAGCCAGGAGACAAAATATTATGGCAGCAAAGCCTAATCAAAGGCTCCTTGAAGAGGAAAAATGTTACAGAGTGGACATGGTCACTCCTGCCTTTGGGGCATACGGGAAAGAAATGAGAAGTCAGCACAGTGAAACACTTTCAAGAAGTCTTAGAAGGAATTGTCACAAATCCCCCTGGAATAAAGGACTTGTAATCTTTAGCTTAGAAACTGGCTTGTAAGGATGTATTTGGGCTTATCTCCCAGATGTGGGTCATCATGGAATGTGTATGTAGGTGGCACAGCAAAGCGACTGGCTGCTGACACGTGAGCCCCATGACGGGGGCAGACTGTGAGTGTGCCAGCTCCCACTGCTTGGAGTTGACGTGGAAGGATCTGCTCAGTTAGACAACAAAAGTGAATGATGTTGTAGGTAATGGGAAATTTCTTCATTTCCTCTTAGATGCGAGGTTGAAAATCGGTACCAGGGGAACCCTCTCAAAGGCACCTGCTACTGTAAGTGTTCTCTGTGATTTTTATTTGCGCAGGAAGCAGTCTTGTTAAGTGAAACTTCCTTTTATTCTTTTTTTTTCTTTTTGCGTCACACTCGGCGATACACAGGGGTTACTCCTGGCTCTGCACTCAGGAATTACTCCTGGCGGTGCTCAGGGGACCCTATGGGAGGCTGGGAATCAAACCCGGGTTGGCCTCATGCAAGGCAAACGCTTTACCCGCTTTGCTATGGCTCCAGCCCCTCCAGCCCCTCCATTTTTTCTTTAACTTTGTTTGAAAACAGTTACATAGGAATGGAACCATCCCCTCATTTAAGGTGTTTATATTCTTTTAAGTTTTCCATAGATGAACTCTATTTTTAGCAACTTTTTTTTTTCATGGGGGAGAAGGTGGGGGTTGAGTAGGGCAGGGAAAAAAACACACCCAGCAGTATTAAGGGCTTCCTCCTGGCTCTGCATTAAGAGATCAATCCTGGCGGGGCTCAGGGAACCGTGTGTGGTGCCGGGGATTGAACCCAGACCAGCCACATGCGAAGCAAGTGCCCTACCTGCTGTGCCATTTCACGAGCCCGTTTTCAGCAACTTCAACTGTGGTTTGTGCTTTATGTTACTCTCTCTAGATACTAGGGAAAAAGAGAGAGGGAATAGTCTCTGGCATCCTTTCTTTGTGTTTGTTCCCTTGTAACAAGCTGCATTCATTGGTCACTACCTAGGTGGTTGGCGACCTCCAGGGCTGTACCCCCACCCCACCCACCCCAGCCTGTGCTTGAGGAACCATGTGGAGCTGTGTACTAACTTGAGCACACAAGGCATGCACCCCTGGCCCCTGAGCTCGCTCCCTTTCTTTCAAAAATAAGATACCAAGACACCTGGAGTCCTTGCCCCAAGACTGGAGTCGGTTATTTTTCTGTGGAGCTTCGGTTCTGTTTATACTATTCACTTACACCTTCATCTCCTTAAGTATATTCTGTTAATCTTGTAAGTGACCTATGTGGGAGGTAACATCTCAACCATGGCGTAATATAACGAGCGGTTTGGGGCCCAAGAGATAGTGCAGGGGCTAAAGTGCTTGTCTTGCATGTAGCCCACCTTGGTTCAACCCCTGGCATCACATGGTCACCCAGATATTGTAGAGGGAGACCCCCACGCACAGATTCAGGGAGTAGCCTCGGCATCACTGGCTGTGCGTCCCTCCCTCCCCCCCCCCCCCCCACAATTTTCTTTGAAAGAGAGAAAGGAAGAGGAGGGAGGGAGGAGAGGAAGGCAGGAAGGAAAGAGGGAGGAGGGACCCACCCTGCCCTGCCTCTGGTTAATCCTGCCTTCAGCTTGGCAGGGTTAACCCAAAATTACTGATACTGCCCACGGACTTGATTTCCTTTGAAAAAAATCTCCTAGTCCCTAGATAGTGATGATCCAAGAACTTGACCCACTTGAGTTTTTGAGAAAATCAGCCTGTATTTCTAATTTTTGTTTGTTATGTTTTTAAATGAGCATTTCTTTCTTTGCATAGATACTCTCCTTATTGATTACCAGTTCACCTTCAGTCTGTCCCAGGAAGATGATCGTCACTACACAGCCATCAATTTTGTGGCTACACCCGATGAAGTAAGATTTTAAGTGTTCTTTATTTGTTTTGAATTTCTGCGCACCTTTTCCTTGTCGCTTTGGACAGAAGCACTGTCTTAGCTGTGCTTTTCAGAATGGAGTACACAGGATGAGACTTAGAGGTAGCACTGTCATTCTGTTGTTCGTCGATTTGCTCCAGTGGGCACCACTAACGTCTCTATTGTGAGACTTGTTACTGTTTTGGGCATATCAAATACGCCATGGGGAGCTTTCCAGGCTCTGCCATGCGGGCAAGATACTCTCGGTAGCTTGCCGGGCTCTCTGAGAGGGACGGAGGAATCGAACCCGGGTCGGCCGTGTGCAAGGCAAACACCCTACCCGCTGTTCTATTGCTCCAGCTTAGCTTAGAGGTAGAGGGAAGAAGTGTCAGAATCTAAGCTTTCTCTCTGTTTCCTCTGGACCGAACCATCAGTGTGTTTAAATTCAAGGTTGCCAGGGTCTGATGCACTGACTGACACCCTCCAAAACTTGGTGTGTCCATCAGCAGCCCACAAAGGAGATGTGCCCACATGGGACCCCCAGACCCCCCCAACACACACAGTGCTGTCGCTCCAGCCCCTGAATGAGTGGGGTTTTTTGTTTGTTTGTTTGTTTTTTAATAATAGGAAGAGGCTGGGAGATAGTGTGGCCATCAGGGCACATGTATGCACCTGCTTCAGGTTCCGTGTCTGGCACCTCCTAGTCTCCCGAGCAGTTGCAGTCCTGGAGGGTCGTTCCCCCCCCCCCACCATCATCACCAGCAGGGGGCGTGGTGGCCTCCAGCACTGGTGGGGGGGGGGCAGGACAAGCAGCCCTAAAACCTCGGCCCCCAAAATTGAACTGCTGACTCAGCTGGCCAGTATCAGTTGGGGGGTGGGTCCCCAGGGCCCCTGAGTGCCGCTCAGATTTATGTGTGGTTTTATACCGCACATAAGACTCAATTATATGTCTTTCACCCAGAGGCTAGAAGCTGAAGCACTTAGTATTCCCGGGATGTTAAATGATGGTGCTCATTTTAGTTTAGTAAACTGGGCACTCCTTGTAATAATTCTTTCCCTTGTAATATTTCTTTATGCAATGAGGTGTGATGATAAGTCTTCTCTGGAGTTCGCTGTATATTAATGGGGTTATCCATTGCCTACAAACTGTCTCTTATAAAAACACAAGAATCTCAGGTTAATCCATCTTTTCCATGGAAAGAAGAAATTGTTAGGAGTGTGCTTCCATCAGAAAGTAACACGTGAACTCTCCCTTCAGAAGGAAAGCGAGGGTTTGTTGATGGATGAGAAGATAAACTCTTTGTGAAATTTCTGATTTGGGGAGATCACATTTTAAAAACAGCTGTTTGAAAATGTTTTCATGATTGTGATCTTGTGCTACCAAAAATACTAATATCTTAAGATCTCTCCAAGTGAGGAATATCAGTAAGAGTAGATCCATTTGTTAAAATTAATTTGCAGGGTCTGGTCCCCGCAGTAGGCTGCTGGCACCGGGCCACCCCAGGTGGGAATAGGTTTCATGCCTTGGCCTGTTCCCCCTGGCGGCTCGGTGGCCGCCATCCTCCAGAGGTCACTGGACAGTCAGGTTTGGGCCCACAGTGATGAGATATGCAGGGCCTCACAGGATGGGGGTGGAACCAGCCCTTTCCTCCCCGCCCCAACGAGACCCCAAGTTGCCGCCCACGAACGGCCTCTCAGGCTCCTGATCAAGCTGCTTAACAGCCATGATCCCAGAGACTCAGGAACAAGTCTCAGAACCCAGCAGATTTTGGCAGAAATCCCTCCAGATTTAATTGTTAAAATTTTGGAATTCCAAAATCACGCAGCCACTGCTGCAGCCACACGACATCATATGTTATTCATAACCAGCAATAGAAAACAAATTGTCTATGGTTGCCTTTTTGGCAGATCTGAGTGTTGGGGTAAAATCCCAAATAATAATGGTGGGTCTGGTGTCAAAATATTGAATGTAATCAAAGTAGAGAGAGAATAATGTGGAAGTCATCTGCCCCCAGTTAGGGGGAGGGTATGGGATGGTGGGTATACTGGGGGTTTTGGTGGTGGAAAATGGGCACTGGTGAAGGGACAGGTGTTTCATCATTGTATGACTGAGACTTAAACCCAAAAGGTGATTCAATAAATAAATTTATGAAAAAGAAAAAAAAAAGGTAGAGTTCATGCCCTGTTCAATCAGCCTAATCAATGGCTGAATAAATAGCAGCACTCTTACATTAAAATTAAAAAACAAATTAAAAAAATTAATTTTCGGGGGCCAGAGTGATAGTGCAATGGGTAGGGTGCTTACCTTGCACACTGCCAATTCAGTTTCATCCCCGGCATCCCATATGGTGCTCCAAGCACCTTTGGGAGTAATTCCTGAGCGCAGAGCCAGGAGTAACCCCTGAACACCACCAGGTATGGCCCTAAAACAAACTAAAACAAAAATTCATCCCAAGGAACAGATTCATTGCTAAATTTCAGTCAGACGTCTCCCCAGGGCTGTACCTAGAGGTATTTGGGGAACCGTAAAGTACCTTTTGGGGCCTAACTCATGCCTCCTTGAGTTATTTCCTCAAATCTCTGACGTCAGTTTTGAAGAACCTTTTCCACTGGAGAGCTTTGCACTGTCTGTAAGATTAGAACTACATAAGTTTACTTTACAAACGAGTATAAATCGGGGAACTTAGTCATAGTTGGTTTACTCTTCAAAGCACTTGGAAATGGCTACCCAGAAGGTAGGTAGGAGACTGATTCACTTACCAGGTCCCAGGGTCTGATATATGTCATTGTGCTTCTTGGTCTTTTTTGTGTGTTTGTGTGATTGTTTTGTTTTTGTTGTTGTTGTTTTGTTTTGGTGGTCACACCCAGCAGTGCTGAGGGGTTGCTCCTGGCTCAGCACTCAGAAATCACTCCTGGCTGTGCTTGGGGATGCCAGGGATCAAACATGGGTTGGTTACATGCAAGGCAAGCGCCCCACCCACTGTTCTATCTCTCTGACCCCAGGAGGGCCTTTTATAAGGTTCCAGCACCAAGCAGGTTTTTTTTTTTTTTAATAAGGTTATTGTTCGTGGAGTTAGGCATTTGGGAAAGCATTAGGCATTTTATATAAAAGTCCCTCCCTGGGACTGGGGGTGTAAATCAGTGGCAGAGCATAAGGCTTTGGTTTCGTCATTGGCACTGCAAAATAACTAAATAAATAATAAAAGGCACAGACTTTTTGTCCTGCCTTTGTGCCAGGCAGATAGCTTACAGGACTGTTTGCTGAAACCTCTACCTCAATTCCTGGAACCCCGTGGTTGCCTGAGCACTATGCTGGGAGTAGCCACCACGCACTGCCAGCTGGGCCCTGGAAGAAGACCAAAAGTAGTAATAAGAACTTTGGAAATAATTAAGAGAGTAAAAGTCTACCCATCCTTCTCCCCCTCCCAACTCCCCCGCCACTCCCCACCCACCTGCGCCCACCCCCATATTTCTGGGAGAAAAATGAAGTTTATTTGGGGGTGTATTGCTTACTGTTAAAGCGCAAGACATTTTTCAAAGTCTTCTGTTTTTAAGGGATTATAAAATGACTCTTGTCTGATTGTATGTCTGTCCTCCCATTGTTCATTGATTTGCTCACGCGGGCACCAGTAACATCTCACAACAAATTGTGAGACTTGTTACTGTTTTTGGCATATCGAATATGTCACAGGTAGCTTGCCGGGCTCTCCGAGAGGGGCGGAGTGATGACATTTCATTACTGCTTCATTTTAAAATACAGAAACTCTGTGATTCATTTTCTAATTGTTTGCACTTCTTCATCAGCAAAACAGGGACTTGGACATGTTCATCAATGCCTCCAAAAACTTCAACCTCAACATCACCTGGGCTGCCAGTTTCTCAGGTAAGGATGCAGCCGATGAAGGTCCAAGTGGAGGTCAGAGGTTGAGAATTGCGCTCATAGGAGTTGAGTGGGGAGGCTTGGAGAGCGGAGGATGCGTTGGAAACCCCCCACTTACAGGCCCCAGGACCCGGAGCAAGTGTGTGAGCCACACTCCAGACCTTAGCTTGGTCACTGTGAAGAGAAGCGAACACAGCTTCCATCCTGCATCTTGCCTGCAGATACGGGGAGAGTAGACCTGCCCGCATGTGCCCAAGTGTCCGGCTCTGTGCGTGCCCACTCGCCCTGCCCACTCATGACTGCCCTGCCAGTACCTTTGCTGCACTTGCAGACTTTTCTGCCTTTTTAAAGAAAAAAAAAATCTTATTATGATTCACTAAAGATGACCTATTGGGCAGGAAATCTACTTTAAAAAAAAAAATGAAGGAGGTGAAAAGCAAACTTTTTTAAGGATGGGAGGGTCTAATATAATGACAAGAATATAGCTCAGCAAGCCATTGCTAGCCAGTAGAATTTAGTGGTTCCTACTCTTTCCAGGCTATGTTGGGGCGAGGGGCATTGCAAGAATTTCTGAATACATTATTCTGGCTAAGGGCTCGGGTATGTCATCAGATTGCCCAGCTTCAGGTCCTAAGTGGTTCTCACTGGCTGGGTAACCTGAATCAGGCCACTTCATTCACTGATCCTGTTTCCTGTTGTAAATGAGTATAAAAATAAGGTACTTGGGGCGAAGAGAGAGGGGAGGGAAAGGAGGGAGGGCCCAATCCCTGATACGCCCCATGATTTCTCTTATTCCACCAGGAGTGGTCCCTGAACACAGAGCCAGGAGTAACCCCTGAGCACGACTGGGTGTGGCGCTCCCCCCAAAGAAAGGGGAAAGAAGGAAGGATTAAATGAGGTTGAGGTTATTTCTGGAACATAGTGAAGGCTTGGATAAATGATAACTATTACTAATGAGGACAGATTCTGTTCAAGAAAAAAGAGTGTACTTGAATTTATTCTTTTGTTGCCTTAACAGCTGGGACTCAAGCTGGAGAAGAAATGCCAGTTGTTTCCAAAACCAACATTAAGGAGTACAAAGATAGCTTCTCGAACGAGAAGTTTGATTTTCGCAACCACCCAAATATTACTTTCTTTGTTTACGTCAGTAATTTCACCTGGCCCATCAAAATTCAGGTAAGGAGTGCTTTTGGTTTCATATTTGCAAAGATTGTGAAATCACTTTAACAGAGATGACATTAACTAATTTGGAACTTGGGGTAACTAAGATACATAATTAGTAGTAGCTGGCAAAAGAGTACTGCCCAATGAATACTAGAGGATAGTAATGGGAATGACTTAAATCACTCACAAAGAAAATTTATAAACCCGTTTGAAAATAAGTTTAGCATGTAATACATTTGGTAATTACAACTGTGCATATTTCTTCATTAAACTTGTCTTGGGAGAGGCCAGAGAGATAGTCCAGCAGCGAAGATGCTTGCAATGCGGCCACCCCAAGTGTGATCCCCTGCAAACAACCAGGTGTGGCCCAAAAACCAGAAAAGAGAAAAGGAAAGATCTCCCCAGAGGCGGCCACTTTAGCACAGGATGAGCTGAAGTGTGGTGGGAGGCGGGGAAGGTGGGGAGCAGCCCAGAGGCTGGGTTTGAGTCCCTGCTTGCTCTCAACCGAGTCACGTCACCTCTTCGATTCTTTTGCACAAAATCCAATGGGGCAGATCTGAGGGTTTGTCACTCTGCACGTGCTCCCGTCCCGTTACCCTGGCACCAGTGCAGTTCTGTCCAAGATCCCCGGCGTATTTTATGCAGTCATCCACCACTGTGTTCTCCAGACCTCGTCTCAGTATTTTGTTTTTACCTCCTTCCAAAAATGGAAGAAAAAGACTTCATTTCCCTTCAGTTTGGAGGCAAAATGGAATTCAGGGACTGTTTTATCTTTAGCTGTGGGATCACTGGGCGGGTGGGAGGAGGAGCGCGTGGCATCGCTTGCTGGTTTTCGCTTTGGAAGCTATTAAAGTGGTATTAAATCCACAGTCAGTTGTCACTGCACACCCACCAAAATAGATGAGATAAAAAAAAAATAGCATTAGCACCAAATAATAGGATACTAATAATAGGACAATAGAAAAATTAGATCCCTCGGGGGAAGGAAAAAACAGCAAGAAAATTTAGATCCCTTATACATTGCTGATAGGAAAATAAGGTGGTGGAGTCACTCTAGAAAGGCAATTTTTTAAATAAGCCTTTTATTTATTATACAAGCCATCCATTGTGTCCCAGGGTACTTATTCCAGAATCCAACTTTCACACGAACACTTTTCTTTTTCTTTTTTTGTCCCACCTGCCTGGCGATGCTCAGGGGTTACTCCTGACTCTACACTCAGGAATTACTCCTGGTGGTGCTTGGGGGACCATATGGGATGCCAGGGATCAATCTGAATTAGCCGTGTGCAAGGCAAATGCCCTCCCCGCTGTACTATCACTTCGACGCCAGCACACAAACACTTCTGCATGGATATGTGCATGCCGGCCCCAGCATTGTGGAGCAGCTTATTACAGGTGCCCCGACCTGGAAACATAAGCACTCTTCACTTACTAGATAGTTCAGTGAACTGTGTTACAAACATGTCACTGTCACTGTCCTCCCATTGTTCATGGATTTGCTTGAGCGGGCCCAGTAACATCTCCATTGTGACACTTGTTACTGTGTTTGGAATATCGAATACATCATGGGTAGCTTGCCAGGCTTTGCCGTGCAGGTGAGATACTCTCGGTAGCTTGCCTAGCTCTCCAAGAGGGGCGGAGGAATCGAACCTGGGTTGGCCAGATTGGCCGCGTGCAAGGCAAATGCCCCATCCACTGTGCTATCGCTCCAACCTGTTACAAACATACTGTCAAATAATACTCAGTCATGAAAAGAAACAAACTTGAGTGAGTCCAGAAAAAAAATAAGAAAATCTTAAACCCCGAATAGGTCTAGATCTCCAGGAAGCTTCTGCTCTCTGACTTTTGGACTCTAACCTTGAGACCCTGTGTTGTGAAAGGGCTCATTGATTAGGTCCCAAGCCCTGAAACTCCAGGGGAGGGGATTGTGCAAGCCCTGTGCCTCCCGAGAGGTGAGAAGCAGGGAGAAGTTTCTCTGACAGGGAGCGGAGCTTATGGAATGCACCAGGAGGGATTTCGTTTCTTTTCCAGTCAGTCCGGTTTCCATTTGGTAACGTTCTACTATCCTGTTACAGGTCATATACATTTGTGAAATACTTTATTTAGGTGTTCTTTTTGATGGTGATGGTGATATCTCTCCCCCATCACCTCCACCAGTGGGGAACCACACCTGGTGGCACTGAGGAATCGCCTCTGGTGGTGCTCAGGGGACCGTGTGGTGCTGAGGGTGAGTCCAGAACTCCCCGTGCAGAGCCTCCACTCCAGCCCTCTGCCCTGGCTCTCCCCCAGCTTGTTGGTTTCCGGTGACTATCACTTCTGCCTTGTTTTCAATTGAGCCTGTTTTTATACGGACATGCCTTGTCGTATTTGAACTTCAGGCTATGTTGCGTATAGCTAGAACACAATTAAGATTCTTGACGGAGGGGCTGGAGCGATAGCACAGCGGGTAGAGCATTTGCCTTGCACGCGTCCGACCCGGGTTCGATTCCCAGCATCCCATATGGTCCCCCGAGCACCGCCAGGAGTGATTCCTGAGTGCATGAGCCAGGAGTAATTCCTGTGCAACACTGGGTGTGACCCAAAATGCAAAGAAATAAAAAAAACTAAAAGATTCTGGATGGAAAATCTTGACTCGGGCTGCCGAGGCTTTCCCCGTTTGGAAGAAGGACGCAGCGCACATAAGCAGGCTTTTGTGCCGGAGATAGCCGAGCCCCGGCCAGTGCTGGGCTCTGGTTTCTTCTTCTTCCCTCCCAGTGCCCTGTCGCTCCACCCTCAGAAAGTCACCGGCATGGTTTTGGAGCATTTCCTTTAGAGGATCCTCCCCGCACTTCACGCCCCAAAACTACCGGTTTTCAGTTTTAAGAATCAAAGCAGCTTTCGGGGTGCGCTTTAACCCGGGCTCGGACCCCTGCCCCCTCTGCCGGAGTGGGAGCCGCTTAGGAGCGCTGCGCTCAGGAGCAGCTTGACTGTGAACGATGGCCCGCTGCTGGCCGTTTAGTTTGCCCCGCTGCCCCTGAAAAACCGGCAGGTAAGTTCCGTGTCTGTGTCGGGGCTCTCGGCTCCAGCGGCTGCAGCGTTCACAGCCGCCTCCGCTGCCGCCTTGCACGTAGCCCGCTCCTCGCTGCTGCCCGCGCTTGGCCTGATCCGGGGAGCACCCTGGGAAGACACAGCTGGCACCTCCCCGAGCAAAGAGAATCGTGTCTCCAGCCGGTGGGGTTGGGGGGGCTGCGTGCTGCTTTACCGTGCCGTGTTCCTCACCGCCTTAGCCCTCGGAGACATGGTCAGCTCTGACACGCATCCACGCACAGGGCAAGGTCGAGGCTGTCGTTTCAACAAGAGTGCAGACTTCTTGGAGGAGGTGGGCGGGGAGCACCTCGTGGTGCTCTGTCGGCCCTTTCAGCCTTCCAGGTGAATCTCGATTGGCTTTCAGTGCTGGTGCTCTTTTTTTTTTTTTCTGCCTCTGATTTTTCAATTTTTAAAGCAGAATCACGGAGGAAATCTAATCCTCCACTCAGAAATTCACAAAAACATTGGGGCTTTTCAAAATGGTAACGCTACACTCAAGTTCCTTGCCTTTGAACGAGACCAGGCTTCTTTTCCGTAATTAGGAACAGATCGAGACCTATAACTGCTAACCAAGGGAACTTGAGAGTGACTATAAAAATCTCTGTGGATGCACTTTAAAATTTAAAAAGCACCACTCTGAAGAGAGGTCCTCTGTGTGTGTGTTGAGAGGCGGGGGGAGGTCTGGGCTCGGGAGGGGGCGTGCAGTTTGCCTGTTTTTCGGCCAGTGGCTCCTCTGGGGGAGCCCCTCCCACAGCCCCTGATTCCTGAAGGCAAGTCTGGGCGTCCATCCGTCCGCAAGAACTGGCTGACTGCAGCCCTGCCCTGCCCAGCGCCAGGAGGGAAGGTGTTGGAGATAGAGCGCGGACAGGCAGACACTGTGTGTGGGGAGGGGAGCGTGGGGGGTGGCGCTGGCCTTCCAGCTTGTTACTGGCTCTGCAACAGAGGTTGTTTTTGTAATGTGGAACTAATATTAAAGGCCTGTGCATGGCGGGCATCTCATCTGCGAGTTTATGTGAGACGCCAGTGTTCACATGCAAAGGCCAGTCCACAGGTTTGTGCTGAGAACTGGGTGTCCATTTAGGTTTGCAGAGTTATGTTTACGGGCGCAAACAGGATTGCTATACTGAGCAGGGGACGCACAAGACATGTGTTGACTCGGCTCGACTTTCTTTAGTAACAGCTCCGTTGAGATGGGATTCACATACCATACAATCCGCCCATTTAAGCTTAGTGTGTTTAGTGTGTTTTGGTGCTTATGCCACCATGACCACAGGCAGTTTTAGAATCATTTCACCACCCCAAAGAAGGAATCCTGCACCTATTAGCAGAGTCCTCCTGCTCCTCCTCCCGCCCACTGGCAGTAGTAGAATCTATCTCTGTGGACTTAGCTGCTCATTGTATTTCATATAGATTGAGTCCGTTCATATGTGTGGTTTTGGACTAACTTTTTTCACTTCACTTTTTTTTTTTTGAGGTTCATCTATTTTTAGTAGGTTTTAGTGCTTCACTACCTTTTGGGGACTGTATAATATTCCCTTGTATAGACATACCATATTTGTTTGTCCTTTCATCTGTTCATGGATACCTGGGCTGTCTTCAGTCTTTGTTATTAGCAATATAAGATAACTTTTAATGCTTATATTTTATTGTAAAAGTAAGCGATTAAATGCATTTAACAAATAACCTATTGGGCCAGAAACACAGCACAGGAGGTAAGGGACTTGCTCTGCAAATGAATGCACCAAGCACAACCCTGTTTAGAATCCCTAGCACTGGGGCCGGAGCAGTAGTACAGTGGGAAGAGTGTTTACCTTGTACGCAGTAGACCCAGGTTCAATCCCCAGCATCCCATATGGTGTCCTGAACACCACCAGGAGTGCAGATCCAGGAGCGACCCCTGAGCATTGTCGGGTGTGGCTCAAAAAGAAAAAAAGCAAAAACAAAAACAGAATCCCTGGCACCACTTGTGGTATCCTGTGCACTGTCAGGAGTCATTCCCAAACACGGAGCCAGGAATTGACCCTGAGTACCAGTGGGTGTGGCCCCAACACCCACCCCACCCCCACCAAATAAGAATTTTTCTTTTAGAGCAGTTTCTGAATCTCAAAAGAAAAAAACGTGGGGCCGGAGCAATAGTACAGCAGGTTGGGCGTTTGCCTTGCATGTGGTCAACCTGGGTTTGATCCCTGGCATCCCATATGGTCCCCCAAGCACCACTGGGAGTGATTCCTGAGTGTAGAGCCAGGAGTAACCCCTGAGCATTGCTGGGTGTGACCCCCAAAAAATGTACAGAGGACCAAAGGGGGGCAGGGAAGTTAATGTATTTTTCTTTTAAAAAAATTTTTTTTAACTTTAAGTACTGTGGTTTCCAAAAATTGTTCACGATACAGTTGTTTCAGGCATTCAGGGTGCCTGTGCCAGTCCTTCCACCAGTGTGACCTTCCCACCATCATTGTCCCCAGTTTCCCACCATGCCCCCTACGCAAGCACAAAACAGTTTTGTTTGTTACAACAAAATGGTAGGTGGAAATGATAAAAATCAGTTCTCAGTAAAAGAAAGTTTGTGAAAATAGTGATCTTTCACAATGGGATAATAGGAAGGGAAGAGTTTGGGTCGCACCCACCAGCCCCCAGTGCTTACTGCTGGCTCTGTGTTCAGGGGTCACTCCTAGCTGTGCTTGGACCATATGGTGTGCTGGGGATCACACCAGGTGAGCCACATGCAAGGCAAAAGCTCTACTCACTGTACTCTCCCTCCCGCCCCAGAAACACATTTCAAACCCTTCCATGCCAGCCGCTGCCCAGGGTGCTGGAGATAAAGTTGTCTGTCGCAGAAGTCTCCATCCTCTATCAGGATAGGCCAGTACAAGGAAAAGATCAATGTGCATGAGGGCTCTGGTTAAAAAAATCAAGCAAGACAAGGCGAGGAGTGGGGTGTGCTATATCTGGGACCTTTGGAGATGAGGAAGCACCCAGGGAGCCCCCTCCTCACCATCACAGAAGCAGACAGGGCCCGAAGCTCCACGTGGTCCAAGTGAGCGTTGGGCAGGACTTCAGCCTTTGCCCTCCACATTTCTCCATGTTGGTGACAGGGCTGCCTCTGCCAGGGGCGAGTGGTTTGGCATGAGCAGATCTCCTGCAGAGCTTCCTCTGGATCCTCCTCTTTGCCAGGGATAGGCGTGGGTGAGATGAGATGTTAGGACTGGAGAGAAAGCCCCAAAGGGCTGAGCATGTGCTTGGCGTCCTGGAGGCCCCAGGTTCACCCCTCCGCACCATTTGGTCCCCTGAGCCCCTGGGCAGCGCAGCTGGGCAGGTCACAGCCTGTCCTACTCCAGAGCGGCTCTGGGGCTTGCTCCAGGCAGTGCTCTTCAGATCTTGCAGTGCTGGGATAAAACCTGGGTTCCCAGCGTGCACAACTTGCTTGCAGCCTTTGCATCATTTCCGGCTTATTGAATGGTGCTCTTTGGGGGGATGAGTGGGAAGGGAGGGGGCACCCCTGCCGGTGCTGCAGAACTACTCCCGGCAGTAGGGACCCTGTGGTGCAGGGGGATCAAACCTGGGCCTCCTGCTTGAGAAGCACACTCATAACTCTGAGAACTCTCTCAGGCCTTAAAATGTCGTTCTTAGCAAGATCACTGTGGCGTTTGCTTTGCGTTCTCTGACTGGGAAGTAGGGAATGATCCCATTAGTGCTGATTGTGCCAGAGAAATTGTTAACAACACCCACCTTCTTGGAATTTGGAAACTGAGAATTCTTGGAAATTCTCAGTTTGGGTAATGCTTTCATCACTTCTGCAGTCAGAGAGTAACAACAAAGACTGACTCCAAATGTGCATTGCTCAACAGGACTAGATGTTTCTAAGTGGTCAGTCCCTCCAGAAGTATCTGGAGGTCATGACTTTGCTTCCCTACAAAACCGTGTAACCAGGAACAGTTGGAAGATAAGCGTCCACCCAGAGGACCCCTCTGGGACCCCTTTCAGAGCAATGTGAGTCTTGGACACCGGCCACAGTGACGGCCAGTTCTACGGATAGGTGCAGCAGGAATTTCAGTTGAACTTGAATGTGGTCTGGCCCCGTGTCAGCGAGAAACCAGGCTCGTGTTTGGGAGCCAGCACAGAGCATGCCGCCCTGAGGAGTGCTGTGTGGGGGCCTAAAGGTCCTCAAAAATTGCCTCTCGGGGCCCGAGGGAAAGTACAGCCGATAAAGTGCTTGCCTTGCACGCATCTGACCGGGTTTGATCCTTGGCATCCATATGGTCCCCCAAGCACTATCAGGTCCTGAGTGTCAAGCCAGGAGTGAGCCCTGAGCATCGCGAGGTATGCCCCCCGAAACAAAAAGCAGGTAGGGCGTTTGCCTTGCACATGGCCTACCTGGGTTTGATCCCCAGCATCCCATGTGGTTCCCCAAGCTCCCCCCCAACCAGGAGTGACCCCTGAGCACAGAGCCGGGAGAAAGCCCTGAGCACTGCTTTGTGTGACCCCCAAACAATAACAACGAAGGAAATTCGCAGGCCCTGTGTTTGGGGGGCAGGGGGTGGATTGTCACTAATGTGTTCTTTTACATGTAACGTGGTGGGTGTACCGCTTAGCCCAGCGGCTGAGTGCGCTGCCCATGTGGACCCCGCCTGACTGCATGCCCTGTTTTCCTGTTGCAGATCGCCTTCTCCCAGCACAGCAATTTTATGGACCTGGTACAGTTCTTCGTGACATTCTTCAGGTATTCGATCTCGACAGACTCTCTCTCTCTCTGTCTGTCTCTCTTTCTCTCTCTCTCTTTTTTTTTTTAAATTCAGGCACTTAACTCCATTGAATATTAGCTATGGATAGATAAAGAATAATCCTATGTTTACGCAGCAGGTCCAGTTAACTTTCTGTGGGTTCCTGTAAAGTTCTATATCTGCTCCGGCAGTGTCAGCTTGGTCTAATCTGACGGAACGGAAAGCTTCAGTTTGCATGTTCTGACCTTTTCCGAGGCAGCTTTCCGTGTACTTTACACTGAAATGTAGATACTTGGGTCTGCAGGTGGGCAGAGCGCAGGGTCGGAACTCATTAACGAATGCTGATTACTAGTGTGTCTTGCATGTATTCTTCCTCTTGCTTCAAGAGATGAGTCCAGGTAATTACCCGGGGTCATACAGCTAAAGGAGATGTGTTAGACCACTGGGGTTCTTTTATTTATATCTGTTCTTTTTTAACAATTCACTTTGATTTTTATTAAAAAAAAAAAAAAGAATGCTACGTCACCATAACTGACGGAGACACATGCTACCAAGCTCGGAGGAGAGCAGCAGCACTGTCATGTCCTCCCCCCCTTTTCTCTCTGGCCACGTCTCCTGCCCCCCAAGTTCTATTGTTTTAGGTTTTTGTTTTTTTTTTTTAGTTGTCACCCAGCAACTCCCCCCACACCCAGAGACGCAGAGTCCTTTTCCTCATACTCACTCAAAGTACTGGCTTGGGCCTGGGAGACGGACCCAGTGGTGAGCGTATCCCAGCACACACTCAGCCCCGAGTTCAGTCCCCTGCACCACACGCCCCTACGCCAACCCCAGCCCTGCTGCTGTGGCCCTGGGGCCCCTCTGCGCTCCCCAGCCCAAGTGTCTGCTCCAACCTTCTGCCCTTTTTTTTAAAAAAAAAAATCTGGGTTGTTTTGTTGTTGTTGTTGTTTTTTAAGTTGTGTGAGCTTGTTATAAATCTTGGATAGTATTAACTCCTTGTTGGATATATGATGTGCAAATATATTCTGCCATTCAGTAGAATGTCTTCTTAATATAGTGTTCTTTTGTTCTGTTTTGTTTTTTTTTTTGTTTTTGTTTTTGTTTTGTTGTTTTTGTTTTTTGTTTTTGCGGTGCCAGGGATCGAACCCAGGGCCTCACACATGCAAGGCAAGTGCTCTACCACTGAGCTATATTCCCAGCCCTTATTTTAATATAGTTTCTTTCACTGTGCAGAAGCTTTTTAGTTTGACGTGGTCACATTTGTTTATTTTTGCATTTGTTTCCCTTGCCATTGAAGTCAAGTTCCCAATTACATCCATTGAGGCAGTGTCGTGGAGTGTATTATCTCTGTGTTCTCCTGTGTATTTTATAGTTTCGGGTCTTGCATTCCAAGTCTGTAATCTATTTTTAATTTAATTTTCTCTTCAGCATGAGATAGTAGTCTAGTTTCTTTTCTTTCCTTTTTTAATTTTTTTTAAAAAATTCAGTTTTCCCAGCATCATTTGTTTAAGACACTTTTTTTCATTGGATGCTCTTGGCTTCTTTGTCATACATTAACATTTCATATAAGTGTGGCTTTATTTCTTGTCCACTCATCTGTGTGTCTTGTTTTACTTCTCGCACCATACTGTTTTAATTACTGTAGTTTTGTAGTATAGTTTGAAGCCAGGGGGGTGTAGTGCCTCCATTCTTTTTTTCTCATAATCACTCTATTTGGGAGATCTGTGGTTCCAAGAAAATTTCAGTGGTGTTCTATTCCCTTCAAGAATATCATAGGAATTTTGATAGGAGTCTCATTCATTCTGTATGATGCTTTGAGTCAGATGACAATTTTAACAATGTTAATTCTTCTGGGGCCAGGGATGTAGCTCAGCAATAGAGATCTTGCCTTGCCTTTGTGAGGCCCTAGTTTCGAGTTCTGGCACCGCAAATACGAAACAGAACAAAAACAAGCAAAACAAAACAAAAATAGTGGTAACACTTCTGATCCAGGAGCGTGGCGTAGTTTTTCATTTCATCGTATCTTCTCTTTCTGTTAACAATGTCTTACAGTTTTTGTTGTACAGGAATTTTCACCTTTTTTTCCACAACAAAGTTTGAAGTTATTTGAGCTGAACAATCAAGAAACTATTAAAATCCTAAAGGGTAGAGTTGACAGTGTATGGGGGTGGGGTGGGGGACAGTATCACTTTAAAGCCTTAAAATCCCTTGCAAAATCCCTTAGGGAGGTGCTGACACCCCCCCCCCCCCAGTAGAATCCGACCCCCCGGGGGCCCTGGGCCGTGTGGAGTGCCTGCCGGGCCTCGGGTCAGATCGCTGGCACTGCTTCTTCACAGCACAACCAAGTACGGGAGTGACGCTACCAAGCACATGGCCCTCAAGACCACAGCAACCACAGAGATACTTGGGCTGAGACTCACGTGTTTAAAAGCTCTCCAGATGATTCCAATAGAAAGCTAAGGCAGAGAATCCCTGCTTTATAAACGTATCTGTTGGGGGGGCGGGGGGGGGGGGATCCTGCCAAAGTCAGAAAAAGAACTGCTAGTGAAACCCTGAGGGCACAGGAAAAAGGAACATAATAGAGCAAAAATGAATGATACCAGAAATAGTATAATAGAATTGAAAGAAACCCTACATTTTTCAGATCTTTTTTGGGGGAAAAAAGAAGGATAATGGATAATGTTGGCAGGACCTATAGCAAGATTGATCAAGGGAAAGAGAGAGAGTGTGTGAGTATGTGTGTGTGTAAACTTGAAAGGAGGCGTTACTCCAATTCCTGCAGGCATTTTTTCCCTCAAGTACTTTGAGCAACTTTATGCAACAGAATTTGAGAATAGAACAGATGGGCTGGAGAGATCGTACAGGGGTTAAGGTGCTTACTTTGTATGACCTGACCTCAGTTTGAGCCCCACCTCACACATGTTCCCCTGAGTACAGGGCCAGGAATCCACCCCAGGCACCCCCAGAGGTGGCCCAGCCACCCTTCCCCACATAGAAATAGAACAAATCGTATACAATTTGGGGGGGGAAGGTCTCTTTGGGTCACACCCAGCAATGCTCAGGGATCACTCCTGGGTCTGCACTCAGGAATTACTCCTGGTGGTGCTCAGGGGACCAGATGGGATGCTGGGGCTCCAACCCAGGTTAGCCGAGTGCTAGGCAAATGCCCTACCTGCTGTACTATCACTCCAGCCCCTAAAATGATTTTCTGAAAACCTAAAAACTATGCCAGAATGGTGCAGAAGTATGGAATCTGAATAGCCCTGTATCTATTTAAAAAACATTACCAAGTAAGATTTCTTGTAGAGAATAAGTATGATTTAACTTTGGGGCAGGGAGCGGGGAGACCAAACCCAATGGTGCAGGATTAATCCTGACTGTGCTCAGGGGTCACTCCTGGTGGTACTCACCATGCCATAATTAAACTGGGATCTGCTGCAAGCAGGCAAGTGCCTTGCCACACCCACCCGCATACCCCACCTCCCACCCCTGATATTCTCTAGCTAAACAGCATTACCTGATTTAAATTTTTCCCATAGAATAACTATAGTTTCAGCTTGCCTCACTGGTAACATAACTTTCTATGGAAGAAATAATATTAAGCAAATCTTGTATTTGCTTATTTTTTAATTGACTGTGGTAAGATCACTTTACATGAGATCTGCCCTTGTGAGCTTTTATATGTTTGTTATGTTACTAGTGATCCCATGCAGTAAGGAGCAGAGCTGTAGAACTTGCATTTTTTGCTTGAGTGAAACAGTTATTTATGCCTGTCAGTTGTTGTTGAAGGGGAGGAGAGCAGGTGATGGAGCCACCCCTGGCCTTGCTCGGGAGCTGCTCCTGACTGTCCTCAGGAGTGACCCCTGGTGATGCTCCCGGGATCGAAGCGGGTGCCAGGGATCCCAGCAGGGTCCTGGGTGCTGCCGCTTCCGGCCGGGCCAGTGCCTCACCTGCTGGGCTGACTCCCCTCACCCTCTCCCCCAAGCAAATCTCTGTGAGACTGGAGAAAGAAGGATGAGTTCCCAGTTCATTTTAGCACAAACTTACAAGAATATTTTTTTTTTAAATTTTTATTAGTGAAACACCATGAGGTACAGTTGAAGAATATTTTAAAGGAATCACGAGCCAGTCTCACCTGTGAAAAGGAAATTTTTTAACTCCACCATGAATATGAAGAGGGCTTATTCCAGAAATTGCAAAGTTAGCTGAGCATCAAAAAATTAATAATTCTCATTAATTGCATCAGGAAGGAGGATAGTATGATCAGCTTGATGAGTGGGGGTAAAGCAGTTGATAAAATTGAATTTCAGGGCCAGAGCAATAGCACATCAGGTCAGGCATTTGCGTTGCACCCGGCTGGTCCCAGTTTGATCCCCAGCACCACTTACAGTCCCCAAAGCCCATTAAGAGTGATCTCTGAACTCAGAGCACCACTGGGTGTGGCCTAACACCCCACTCCCGTCCCCAAGCAAATTTCAGACTAGGACTAGAAAGAAGCATCCTTAGGGCTGGAGCGATAATACAAAGGCTAAGGTGCTTGCATAGCCTGGCTGTAGCTGCAGTCCTGGTTTGATTCCCAGCACCACATACAGTCCCCTGAGCATTGCCAGGTGTGATACAAAAACAAACGAAATTAGGAGAAACTTGGGGCCAGAGCGATAGTACAGCAGGTAGGACACTTGCCTTGCATGCAGCTGACCTGGGTTCAATCCTGGAACCCCATACAGTCCCCCAAGCCCGCCAGAAGTGATTCCTGATCATAGAGCCAGAAATTAGCACTGAGTACCACAAGGTGTGCAACCCCCACCGCCCCAAAAAAGGAGATACTTGTTGGTTTGGAGGCCACACCTGGTGGTGCTCAAGGACTCCTCCTGGCACATTGCTCAGGGGTTGCTCCCAGCCATGCTTTGGGGGAACATAAGGTGCCAATATCAAACTGAGCCCTTCTGCATGCAAGTCACACACACTGGCCCTTTGAATTTACCTCTCTGACCAGCAAACC